TAGGGACCTAGTTTCTGAGTCACAGATTGGAAACAGTTGAGATCCCCACCCCATAACCATACATAAAATTGCTGGGCATGAAAAATTGAATACAGATATATATGCTACAGAATTGGCCTTGGGGTCTGGCATATTCCCATGGATCTCATTTGGAGAATGTTCTGCCATGATTGCTTAGATATCAAGGTGAGCGATACAGGCCCTATGGGCCTCTTGTTGGTAATTATAAGTAGAACTAGAACACAGAAGAACCACTGGATACAATAATACTTCTGTATGAGTATTGGAAATGAGTTAGGAAGATTATAAAGCTGTACAAGGGATCATTCAATACTGTTTTTTTATGCCCTGCTTTTCGAAGAAAATGAGGGATATCAATTTGGACCCGTCAGTCACTTTTCAATTTCCGTGAAATAACTACACTAATAATTGTCTGATTTGAACAAAATTTGGTGTGCCCATACATATTAACATTTTTAAGACTAAGTTGGCTCATCAATGTTATCTTTGCATATTTATGCATAATTAATTACACTTATACATTCTGATTGGCTAATTGGTTTCTGTTCAATTAGTGGTCTAATATTGGTCCTATTTAAAAAATATTTGTCTGCACATACATATTAACATGTTTAAGACTAAGTTCACAGGTCAATCAGACCCTTTAACCTTGTCCTTATGAATTCCACGAATTTGCTTGTTGTTTCAGGCTTCTTCACCAGTGAAGACAAAAAGCCCGGTCAAAACCCCAGCAGCAGCTAAGCCAGACTCAAGCAGCTCGGACTCCAGTGACTCGGGGAGTAGCAGCAGTGATTCAGAACCGGAGAAGACCGTAAAGAAGGTAAAATTACCAACGATTCCGTGATTAGCTAAACACATACCCAATATACTGTGAAGTTTTTGCCCTTCGTTGGTAAATACATGTTTGCCCAGCATCAGTTTTGTCCTTCACATTTAATTACCATGTGTATTATGTTGTTTTTGTTAATGTTCGCTATAATGATAAATTCACCCTCGCTATGGCGGGCACATAAAACGAAAATTTAACTGCCGGTATATACAGTGTACAGGGAAGTAACATTGCGTCTTTGTTTCAGAAATATTTAACTTTTGGTCTTTTTGGTTGTTTTTTACTGAAATTTCAAAAACCATGTAGAACCTAGATACAGCTTCTTACTTTTAATGTCCATTCTAGTGACGGGATAAAACCTGTATAAATGGTAGTCTGTATCTTATCAAGTGCAGAAAAAAATCTTTATCTTCCCTTATATATGTTGGGACTTCTGTCAAATGCCACATGTGTGAGGTCAACATAAAAATGATGGTGGGAGTTCATGGTCAAGCAGTATTGTAACTATTTCATATGCATTGTCTATAAGAACGTTTTAAGGCTGAACAATGTTATAGTTAGGGGTTTTTCAACCTAAATTTTACAAAAGCCTGTTCCTACATGTATTTGGAAAAAATAACATTGTTTTTATTGAATATGGGAAGGTGTTCCTGAATTTTTCTTCCCTTTGGGAATAAAGCACATTTTAGCCAGGGGAAGCAGCCTGTATTCCGCTTTAAAACTAGGCAAAATATCACTGATAGTGTGTAGCAATTTGATATGGTAAAACAAGTGTTTGAACAAGCAGACTGGAACAAACAAGTTATAATTTCTACTTACAGAGCCCAGCAGCTCAGAAGAGTCCCTTCACCACTTCAGCTGTCAAAAAGGTTGTGAGCCAGAGTGAATCATCTAGTGACTCGGACAGTGACTCAGAACTGGACACATAACCTCTCCTCCCACCATAGGTACTCATGTATGTATCTCTGTACTCATCCCACTATAGCGCCTCATGCATGTATCTCTGTACTCATGCCACCATAGGTACTCATGAATGTATCTCTGTACTCATACCACCATAGGTACTCATGAATGTATCTCTGTACTCATCTCACCATAGGCACTCATGCATGTATCTCTGTACTCATGCCACCATAGGTACTCATGAATGTATCTCTGTACTCATACCACCATAGGTACTCATGAATGTATCTCTGTACTCACCCCACCATAGGAACTCATGTATGTATCTCCGTACTCATCCCACCATATGTACTCATGTATGTATCCCTGTACTCATCCCACCATATGTACTCATGTATGTATCCCTGTACTCATCCCACCACAGGGACTCATGTATGTATCTCCGTACTCATCCCACCATAGGCCCTCATGTATGTATCTCTGTGCTCATCCCATCATAGGTACTCATTTATGTATCTCTGTACTCACCCCACCATAGGAACTCATGTATGTATCTCTCTACTCATCCCACCATAGGTACACATGGATGTCTATCTGTACTCATCCCACCATTGGTACTCATGTATGTATGTCTGTACTCATCCCCCCATAGGGACTCATGAATGCATCTCTGTACTCATCCCTCCATAGGCACTCATGTATCTACCCCCGATCGGTACTCATGTATGTATGTCTGTACTCATCCCCCCATAGGGACTCATGAATGCATCTCTGTACTCATCCCCCCATAGGGACTCATGAATGCATCTCTGTACTCATCCCCCCATAGGCACTCATGTAGGTAGCTCTGTTCTCATCCCACCATAGGTCCTCATGTATGTATCTCTGCACTCATCCCACCATAGGCCCTCATGTATGTATCTCTTTACTCATCCCACCATAGGCCCTAATGTATGTATCTCTGTACTGTACTCTTGTATGTATCTCTGAACTCATTCCACCTTAGGTACTCATGTATGTCTTTCTGTACTCATCCCACCATTGGTACTCATGTATGTATCTATGTACTCATCCCAACATCGGTACTCATGTATGTATCCCTGTACTCATCCCACCATAGGCACTTATGTATGTATCTCTGTACACATCCCACCATAGGTACTAATGTATGTATCTCTGTATATAATTGACTCACAACCACGAGGCTAAGTTCTCCCAGATACATAACCTCTCCTCCCGCCATAGGTACTCATGTACGTATCTCTGTATATAATTGACTCACAACCACGAGGCTAAGTTCTCCCAGATACATAACCTCTCCTCCCACCATAGGGACTCATGTATGCATCTCTGTACTCATCCCACCATAGGTACTCATGTATGTATCTCTGTATATAATTGACTCACAACCAAGAGGCTAAGTTCTCCCAAATGAAAGGATTCCTCTACTTCTACCAGAAATTCCAACTATTTATCTTTTTTTTCATTTTTAAAGGAAAAGTTATATTGTATCACTTTTTTGAAAAAATGATAAAGATGAAAGAAACAAAATCAATAACAGTGTTTTAATGTGTAAAAATACAATGTAGGATTCCAAACCTGAACCCTGATCATTATACTGTCGCTCCAACCAACGTAGCGTATTGGTCAACAGTAAAACACTTGCTCCAATGCTCTAGTTACATCCGAAACAAAATGAAGGGGAGGTAACTGTATATATGGAAAATTTAACATGGAGATTCTCAATATTCTTTTGCTTGTAGTGGGACAGGGATCCTTAAGACTTGAATTTGATTTGAAATTAACGTTGCTGTACATTCTTGCTATGTTTAGGGTAATTATTGTTGAATATATGCGTGATTAGCACCTTGTTGCCACCATCATACTGAAGGACATTTCTAATACATTGTAGATGTTTTGTATTATTAGAATTTACCTGTTGTTTAAATCGGCTGCTTAATTTTCTACTGTCCTGAATTTCTATATATTTGTATGTTTTTCTTAGTTTATATCATTCCATATGATAATAAATATATCTCTCCTGCAAATGAAGGTAGTTCTATTGTATTAGTGCTGGTTTTTCTAATAAATGTAACATGTTATCTGGGATGAAGCTCTTTACTGATCAAGATACATCACCTGTAGTTCAAACGTTAAGTAAGTCTACAACAAATATGTATTTGGCTAATAAGGGAAGAGGTATAGTTTTGTTCAGAAAAACAAATAATTAGTTTATTATATATATGCACTGGCAGTGATTCACATTTCTGTCAAGGTTTCTACCATTCTGTGTGGTCATACTTCAGTTTACATAATTCATCTTCTACTAACTTATCTGTCGCGATTTTACCTGTCACTATGATGAATATTCAGTTCATATAATTCACCTTCTATTTTTTTCGGCTTAGGTTTCTACTATCTTAATACTGGAGAACTGAAAAACAGGAGAAAGATTTCACTGGAAAAAATGTGCAATTTCATAATTGATCACCTCCAACAAATCAATTGTGAACTTACATCAACAAGCTAATAGGATTACATGGACTGCTGAATGTGTTCAAACCAGCGTTGTATCATATACTTCAGTCATTTCTCATTTATTCATCTGCAGCTATTGAACAATTTCGACTGTGTATACGTATTTGACATGAACTCATTAACTTGTGTTTTTGAAACCTGTACATGACCTCATAGACTTCTATCATTGTCAATCATCGTGAAGATTTTAGCATATTCAGACCACAGTTGTGGATCTCAACAATTCAAAATGAATTATTATGAAATTTGTTGCGGTCTGAGTGCTTGACATCATGGACTGAAGTCCAAAACTGGAAAAATGGTCATCAGAGATTTAGGTCATTCCCAAAACACAATATGGCCTGTTAAAATGTTCAAACTTTAGTTTTGAATATTGTAGACTTAGGGCAGCATTTAGTAAAATATGAAAACATTTACAACATTTTGTAAAATATGAAAACATTTAATTTTTAATTTGAAACATACAATAAATTTGTTGGTTATTATTTCATACTTGAGATGTGATTACCTGGTATGTAAATATAATTCCATCAAACTGATTTTTTTGCATTTTTGAAATAAATGTATTTTTACACCAACAGGAAGGTGTCTTTATCCCACTCGTAGTTTGAACTCCTGGATACTTGCTAGTATACCTTTTGGTACAGCCGTGTTTGTAAAATTCCTTTATTTGCTAGGATTGAAAGTACTTGACCAGTTCCTGTTTAATACAAAATTAGGTTTCACTTTTATCAGTGAAAATCACTATATATTTTTTTTTTATAAACAACTTGGTATTTTAAACACTTTGTTTCTAGATGTTTTTCATGACTCTTGAAAATGTCTGAACATGGGACAGATCACCAAAAATGTCTGATAACTTGAAAAAAATGTTTAACCATAAGTTGTTTACAATAGGCAATAGTAAAATCCAAAATTTCCTATATTTTTTGTGTAGGAAATTGAAAGAACATGAGAAGTGCTTTCAAAATAATATACAAAAAAATCTTGCAAATACAAGAAAGTCTAGGGAGTTCCAAATCCGATTGATAAAGCGTTCCACCAGTCTGAATGCACATATTGATTATAGTGCATCTACAAACAGTATTCCATACATTGTGTGTGATTTTTGTGGCTGAAGTAATCATACCAACAGCAGCATTCAGATAATTTCTGGAAATTGTCAAATATGGAACAGAAAAATATCCATGAACATTAAGTGTTCAAGTGATATCTTTCCAATTCCTGGATGGTATAGTAGGCCCCCTTGTGATGTCAACTACAGTATAAATTAATAAAGGAAAGGAAGTTGTTTTGTATCATGTTTTAATACTTGTATGGGCATTTAAAGTGTTTGGGAGTGAAGAAATGATGAGAACTCCTGAATACTTGCTAGTATACCTTTTGGTACAGCCGTGTTTGTAAAATTCCTTTATTTGCTAGGATTGAAAGCACTTGACCTGTTCCTGTAAATACCATGAGATGTGTAATGCAAACTTGAAATCATATTGTTAAAAAAGTATTGTTAATTATGGGTAAAATATTGTTTTAAATATTTGGAAAGAAAACAAATTGATCTCATGTATGGAAATATATGCCATCATGATTAAAAAGTCATGAATTTTAAAGTAGCTATGTGCTGTTTGTTATTATTTGAAGTGTTTCATAATAAGTTAAGATTCTTGCAACTTTAATAGAAGATAATCTGAGCCAAGGTTCAGTTACCTATTTACAACCTGTCTTTGTTCGTGGGATGCGTCATGAGCTAATTATTTTCATTTTGACCTAAAACCAAATAGTACTGAAGAGATTTTCAGTACAGGCTCTGACCCAGCATTGCTATAATTTTTGGTCAGTCAGATATCACAAGATGGCTGCCAATTGTTGGAATTGTAACAGGAAAGTGTGCTTCCAGTGGGTATCGAACCCTCGATCTCCAGGTTTCTAGCCGGACGCTCTACCACTGAGCTATAGGAAAATTCCCTCTAGCTCGAAGCTAGAAGGCGACCTTAATCATATGTACAATTAAAACCTGCCACACTACTCAGCCCAATCTCCTCCTACATTTTTCGACCGATCTCTTTGAAACTTGGTATACAGTATAACCATGATATGAAGTTGTGTCTCCCTTAAAAGAATTTCGATTTGAGAATTTTTCCAAAAGTTATTCCTCTTTATTCAATTCAGTATTTGATTTTTTGTCCAGAGATCTTTTACATTTTTCAATCGATCTATTTGATTTAATCATGAAGTCAACTTGTGTTTATAATTTGGAAACTAACCTTTGATTACCTGTATTCCTTAAAATACTGACAAGATCCCTTTAAATTAATTTTTGAGACTTCAATGTGACCATAATAATAAGTTCTAAGGATCTGTTTGCACTTTATTAATTGATTTAAGATCTTGATGGCACTATGTATTGTGAAAAAGTGCTTAGGAAATACACACTGCTCTTACACTAGAATATTATAGGATGAATAATGGATGCAGGCAGAGTATCTGCCTCTATATCCATATCTTTATAACATTTCAGAAAATATTTGTCCGTCCAGCGTCAACTTTTCCATTAAAACTACATGTTCTCAACAACCAAAAGGCCCAGTGTACTGATATTGGGCCTGTAGCATGCTGGGACGAAGGGCTACCAAGTTTGTTCAAATGAATGACCTTGACCAACTTTCAAGGTCACTGGGGTCAGATGTCTTAAAATCTTCAAACAAATTCTTCTCAATAACCAAAAGGCACAGGGTACTGATATTGGGCCTGTAGCATGCTGGGATGAAGGGCTACCAAGTTTGTTCAAATGAATGACCTTGACCAACTTTCAAGGTCACTGGGGTCCGATGTCTTAAAATCTTCAAACAATTTCTTCTCAATAATCAAAAGGCCCAGTGTACTGATATTGGGCCTGTAGCATGCTGGGATGAAGGGCTACCAAATTTATTCAAATGAATGACCTTGACCAACTTTCAAGGTCACAGGGGTCAAATGTTTTAAAATCTTCAAACAACTTCTCAATAACCAAAAGGCCCAGGGTACTGAAATTAGGCCTGTAGCATGCTGGGATGAAGGACTACCAAGTTTGTTCAAATGAATGACCTTGATCCACTTTCAACCTGATGTCCTTGTTCGACATTCAAGGTCACAGGCGTCATATGTATAGGTCTTTTAAAAGGTTCTTATGAATCAAACACTGATATTCTGCCTGTAGCTGTATTTTAGTCCACTTTTAAGATTACAAGTGTGAGATTAATACCAGGTGAGCGATGCAGGCCCATTGGGCCTCTTGTTGAGAAGAAGTTGTGAAAAGGTTTTTAACATATTTGACCCCTGTGACCTTGAAAATTGATGAAGGTCATTCTTTTGAACAAACTTGGTAACCCTTCATCCAAGCATGTTACCGGCCAAAAAACATCATCCAATGCCTTTTGGTTATTGAGAAGAAGTTGTTTAAAGATTTTGAACATATTTGACCCCTGTGACCCTCAAAATGGATGAAGGTCATTTGTTTGAACAAACTTGGTAGCCCTTGATTCCAGCATGCTACTGGGCAAATATCATCATCCTAGGCCTTTTGGTTACTGAAAAGAAGTTGTTTAAAGTAAAAAGTTGACGCCTGACAGACAATGGATGCCGCACCATGGCATAAGCTCACTTGCCCTTCGGGCAGGTGAGCTAATAACTGATAAGCCTAGGCTGATGATATTTGGTCAGTTACATACTGGGATAATGGCTACCAAGTGTGTTCAAATAAATGACCTTGACTTAAATTCGAGGTCACAGCGGTCAAATATGTTAAATACCTTCAAACAACTTCGGGCAGGTGAGCTAAAAACACTATAAAACAACTTTTTCAAAATAACCAAAAGGTCTAGGGTGATGATATTTGGCCAGTAGCATGTGGGGATGAAGGGCTACCATGTCTGTTCAAATGAATGACTTTCACCCATATTCAAGGTCACAGGGGTCAAATATGTTGAAATCTTTAAACTACTTTCTCTGAATTACCAAAAGCTCCAGGGTGATGATATTTGGCCAGTAGCATGCAGGGATAAAGAAAGGGCTATCAAGTTTGTTCAAATGAATGACCTTTGCCTATATTCAAGGTCACAGGGGTTATTTGTCTTTTAAACACTGTAAAAAGACTTTTTTAAATAACTTCAAAGTTTGTTTGAATTAATGACCTTGACCCATATTCAAGGTCACCAGGGTCAACTGTCTTTAACCTTAAAACAACTTCTTCTGACTAACCAAAAGCTCCGGGGTGATGATATTTGGCAAGTAGCATGCGGGGATGAAAGGCTATCAAGTTTGTTTAAATGAATGGCCTTCACCCATACTCAAGGTAACAGTGGTCAATAGTCTTAACAAGACGCCCATGGGCCTTAACGGTCACCTGATATATTTATACAGAGAGTTGATTTTGTTTTTAACATGAAAAGAAATATTATTCAAAGTGACAAAAAACAATAAAACCACCTTATTCAATATCTAGCATACAGATTTAAGACTAAAAAGTATTTGAAACTAGCACCTCTGATTCTAAACAAGGAAAATGAAGAAATTTTAGCACACTGACTCCTTTGAGCCCCACCCTACAGCCCTTGGGGGTAGGGCTGGCTCAAAATGTTCAAAGTATCAAACTGTCAACCCAAGGTTATAACCCCCCCCAAGTTATTAACTAGTAATATTCAAAGTATCATTTGCCATTATAAACCATAATAAATCCCCCCCCCCCTCCTTCACCATGGCGTAAACGTGAGACCCTAGGGTCATAAACCTTAAGACCCTTCCATCTATGAAGTGTGTTTGATTCTACCATATCTGGGTCTTTGAGAAGAAGATTTTTGAAATTTCAGTCAATTCAATCCTTTTTGGCCGCAGGGCTGATATCTGCATACCATCAAACTGCTATCCAATACTGATAATGCTAACCCAAATTGAATAACTTCCAATGGAAATTAAACAAATGTTGGTCCAAAATGTGATTTCCCTATATAAACTATAGCAAAGTTTACCCCCTCCCCAGGGTCATGAAATTCACAATTTTGGTAAAGTACCTTAAGACCCTTACCATATCTTGGTCTTGAGAAGAAGATTTTTGAAATTTCAGTTAATTCAACCCTTTTTGACTCCACCCATCAGCCCCAGGGGGTCAGTTAGGGCTAATATGTGCATACTATCAAACTGCTACCTAATACTGATAATGCTAACCTAAATTGAATTACTTCCAATGGAAATTAAACAAATGTTGATCCAAAATGTGATTTCCCTTTATAAACTATAGCAAAGTTTACCCCCTCCCCAGGGGGAAACGTGAGACCCCAGGGTCAAGAAATTCACAATTTTGGTAAAGCACCTTAAGACCCTTCCATCTATGAAGAGTATTTGATTCTACCATATCTGGGTCTTGAGAAGAAGATTTTTGAAATTTTAGTCAATTTGACCCTTTTTGGCCCCGCCCCTCAGGCCCCTGGGGGCTTGGGACTAAACAGGCCACTTTTTTTTGTTGACATTTGTCCATGGAAGGTTCCTGCAAAATTTCATTGAAATTGGTTCAGGGGTTTTGGAGAAGAAGTCGAAAATATAAATTGTTTAAGGACAAACGACGACAGACAAAAGGCGATCGCAATAGGTCACTTGAGACTTTGTCTTAGGTGACCTAAAAAAAAAAAAGTCAAGACACTGATTTTTTGCCTGTAGCTTTATTTTAGTCCACTTTTAAGGTTAAAATTGTGAGATTAATATCAGGTGAGCAATGCAGGCCCATTGGGCCTCTTGAAATCATGATGGCTGCCTTGGCCTCTCATTGGACGGTAATTAATGTCCATAATTTTGGTTGTTAGGCCAGTTCGAATGTTATATTCTTTTGAAGCTTTGTTGCGATTGCTCTTGGATGGTTTTGGAGACATTGGTAAGTCCTTGTTTATCACTTATCGTAGATGGGGCACAGGTGATGATATTTTAACAGACTTTTATGGAAGTTTGCACCCATTGCCATGATCCCGATCAAATAATATATTTTCAATTTTCACGGTGGAGCAGGGTGTCAAGGTTAGCTTTTGACTTAGTTATGTTTCTGATTGATTATCTTGTGAAATTCACATTTGTCCATCACCACATAACCAGGAGCCTCTTTACATTAATCGTGAGGGAACTGTAGATGGATTACATTGTAGAGCTGACAGCGAAAAACTCTCAATGGTGGTTACCTTGAGAGTTTTTTTGCCTTTCTAGTTGAAATTTCTGTGAGGTCCCTCTATGTCTTGCCCTGGTGATTGGGATAGAGCATGTGCTTCAGTGTAGAAAGTGGAGTTTGCTAACTAGCAGGCATTACAGGTATACTGTATAACAAGAAATTTCGCTGCTAAATCTGTTGAGAGGTTCGCAGGATATCTTCTCCACAGGCCTTTTATTTCTACCAAGACACAATAACACCCGCCCTCGACTTAGTGGCAGGGTGTCATCTGCTATTGAATCCTTAAAGCGGAGCAGAGATGAATTGTGACAAGTTTTGCAAGGGCAGAACCTATACCCCATCCATTGCCAACTGACCTAACTTGTACTTCTATCTGATGCGTTCTTGTATTGGAATGTAACAGAACTACATTTGAACTTGGCCCTGGTCTTTGTGTATTGTCCATGTCTATCAAGTTTCATCGAATTCAAGTAACTTTTGAGTTAGTTTTTGCCGAAACCAGTTGATGGATTAAGGTTTTATCAAAATTTCAGACAACCTTTAAAAAAGAAATTATAGGTACTTATGTTTTTTGTTTATAACTCTCTACTATAGCAAATGGGCAAGCAACTAAGAGTCTGAAAAATTCAGAACAAATCTGAGCTCTTCTTAGTTGTAGATTCAACAAAAAGGGCACAGACTCTTAACCCTCAGTATTTTTGGCACGGCACAGAAAGAAGCCGACGTAATATGATCTTTGTATTCTACATACCATGTGCAAATAAACTTCTCTACATCACAAACAAAAAGAAGCCATATTCAATATACATTTTTCATTTTATTAATTTAAAATACTTATAAGACTCTTTAAAAGCAACAGTACTTAACTAGACTTGGGAAATATGATACAACGTGAAGTACAAATGATAAAGTGGATACAACTAGATACTCTGTGTGGTACATAGTGGTGTCCTGTCCTCGTTAACACTCGCCCAACACAACAAGACAGCATCTAGTTGATAACAAAAATTGATACAATTGGTTCGCGATATTGCTGACTTTTTTCTTATTATTGTGTGGAATATTGCTTTGCCCAAACAAGACTCACATGAAACATGTATTGCTGGACAACAGATACTCAACAGTCCATTAGCGATTTACTCCGTACACTATCCAGAGTTCAAGGCATATAGCAAATAATGTTATTACTGTTTCAACTTACAGCATCACCGAGATATTCTTGATTCTACTAATATAGCGAGCCTCATTGTGGTGCAACAAATATATCGTTCTCTATTTGCACCTTGTTCTGATATTCCATTAATGCCTATTTCAAGATCTAACTAATATAGCGAGCCTGATTGTGGTGCAACAAATATATCGTTCTCTATTTGCACCTTGTTCTGATATTCCATTAATGCCTATTTCAAGATCTAAAGTTGAAGAAAACTAAACCTACTTGCTGTTTATCAAGAAATTAAAAAAACACCTTAACCTAGAATTAAAGGGTCAATTCTGTTTTCAACATAAATATTAAAATACCGAGGTTGAAAAGATTGGAGCAACAACCTTACAAATAGGCACAATTATTAACCCGTTCCTGATCAGTGGAATCTCGTGGATTACCAAGCGTAGTGTTACCTTTGTAGCGGTGTTAATAGTGTTCAATGCTGGGCATGTTTATATTGTTCTATACCTGTAAATAGTTTTGAACTTCAAGGCAGTTTTTGTTCCCAGAACCTTAAGTAATATTCTCCTATGACTAATGCTATTTTCAGCTTTTTTTCACAAATATATTTCACTTGAAACTACGACATACATATGTTTCAAACATTAAGATAAATCTTTCGAATTTAATCTGATACTTTGTACACAAAGGCCGATCTTTTGTTCTCTCAAAGTGTCATGTTTCTTCTACATTTGATTCTTTCTACTATATCATTCACATCGTTACACAGGCATTTTTTTTTTCAACTCTGAATTTGTTCAAAAGGTGGTCACATTTTCTTTTCGAGAGTCGCATAAATGTTTTTTTAACATAGATAACTATATTTGACTTGGGTGACCCCCCCCCCCCCCCCCCCCTTCCTTTTTCTGGCAAATTCTGGCTTTATTTGTGCTTGATAAATATCAAAGGCCACATATATACTAGTCACAATGTTTCTTTTTAAAATCATCGTTAACAATTTCACCTAGAATTATACACGAAATAGTTCAGGAGTACATAAGTACTGCTATTATTAAATTTGCTGGCAGATCTATCTTCTAAAGATTCAAATTTTCAACAATGCCATAGACCAGATCCACTTTGGTAGTATTGAAGAGCGATCAACTTGACATACCCTATATGTATGTAACCATGTTATTTCATTCTGTAAAGAATATAAACACGAGATTTTGACCCCCTGAAATAAAAAGTGACACTTGGGATTTTTGTCATCTGATTGATGAATTCTTCATGAACAGATATAAATGACCGAGGCAGCGAGTGAATGTGAAATCGTTAAAAAAGGTGGGCTAATGCCAGCTACATCAAATTAAATTTCATAAATGGACAATTATTGTTTAAATGTGACAAGATGATCCCCTTGTAAAGTTTCTGTCATATCTCTCCCATCATAGGCAACCTACAGGGAACCTTAGGTAACCGAGGAAACAAGGCCGAGAGACGAGACCTATGGCAGGACTAATAGAAAATATTTATCCCTTCTATGTACATCAACTCTTTGTGTTACACCTTTCAGATGCGATTATATTCTCTAATTATGTCTATATACAAAAAAAAAAGTTAAAATTACATACATGAAAAAGAAAAAAAAAGAAGATAAATAACACCAATAATTTGTCATAATATACATATATATGCATTTTCAACAAAATAATTACACGTTGAAACGTATGAGGGAATTCTGAGTGACAAAGGTCCCCAATACAAGAGGCCAGGGGGTGGGTGGAACAAAAATAACACAGTGACCCACAAAATGCACACGACTACTGGTCATACTGACCTCCACATTACCCACGATCACACACAGACGCACCTTAGCATACATGTAAAGACAAAACATACCACGTTACTAAACGTCTTCTAAAACCACTGAAACTGTAGAGAGCTATAAACAAAATCGTAATTACGGTATCTTGATATGTCTTCTCAACATCAATAGACTCGCTATATAAACGAAGCACACACATTTTGATATGATAATGAAACATTTGGGACATTTAAATTGCACTCTAAACAAAGACTTAGGAATAACGCCTCCTGTTGGCAGCCCAATGATGCTACACAAGTAAAACCTAACACAAATCAAGACTTCTGTAGCCACTGATTGGCCTTTACAAATTGCATCAATAAAAATATTTAAAAAAACAAAATATCTCACATTAATTTGATGCCATGACAAATTGCATCAATAAAATTTTCAGAAAACAGATTGCTTTGACATTTGACTACGCATACAACACAGTTTATATATAGGACTAGTTTATCTTTACATGTTATTTTTCATGCTGTGCATAAAAAAGTCACAAATGCTAGTACTTAATAGTTCATATGATGGTCACAAATGGAATTATATTATCACCATGATCATCACAAATGGTAGAACTATATAATCCACATGATTGTCACAAATGGTAGACCTATATTAGCTACCTGACAGTCACAAATGGTAGACCTATATAATCCACATGACAGTCACAAATGGTAGACCTTTATAATCCACATGACAGTCACAAATGGTAGACCTATATTAGCTACCTGACAGTCACAAATGGTAGACCTATATAATCCACATGACAGTCACAAATGGTAGACCTTTATAATCCACATGACAGTCACAAATGGTAGACCTATATAATCCACATGACAGTCACAAATGGTAGACCTATATAATCCACATGACAGTCACAAATGGTAGACCTATATAATCCACATGACAGTCACAAATGGTAGACCTATATAATCCACATGACAGTCACAAATGGTAGACCTATATAATCCACATGACAGTCACAAATGGTAGACCTATATTAGCTACCTGACAGTCACAAATGGTAGACCTATATAATCCACATGACAGTCACAAATGGTAGACCTTTATAATCCACATGACAGTCACAAATGGTAGACCTATATAATCCACATGACAGTCACAAATGGTAGACCTATATAATCCACATGATTGTCACAAATGGTAGACCTATATTAGCTACCTGACAGTCACAAATGGTAGACCTATATTAGCTACCTGACAGTCACAAATGGTAGACCTATATAATCCACATGACAGTCACAAATGGTAGACCTTTATAATCCACATGACAGTCACAAATGGTAGACCTATATAATCCACATGACAGTCACAAATGGTAGACCTATATAATCCACATGACAGTCACAAATGGTAGACCTATATAATCCACATGTCACAAATGGTAGAAATAAATAATCCACATGACCGTCATAAGAACTATATAATCCATACAAATTGAAAATGGCACTTAGTACTGTTGACTTTCATTTATTAATCATCAGAAGAAAAAGAGTACAAAAAAGGAATGCTTTTTCAGCCTTTTGTCAAGACTAGGTGGGTTCACTAAAACTCGAGATCTGCTACCACAATGTCCACATCTTGATATGATGCATGTTTTTCTATACAGGTTCAGTTCTAAATTGTCCTTTAACTGGTTTCAGTGACATTACCTGTACTGGTGTAATTTCCGATAGCACCAGTTAAGTTTATAAATGCCAAAGTCCCCGAGATAACCTAAGATGCGATCTTGAGAGCAGAAACAATTATTTACTGCTAGACAGATTTTGGTAACTATTCAAAATTTATAGACAACCACAATCTTAAGAAAATAGTTCCATCTGTATAATCCTTTAATGGCAGGCCACCCTTAAAGCAAACACAACCACGTTGGCTCCTTCAATGACATCACAAGGTCATTTGCATATAGTATTATACTGATACAAGGAGGCACTAGTTAAATGAGAACAGAATTATGTTTTTTTCCAAATCTGTCTACTTGTAACATTCTTCACTGAAAACCACAATCACTGTGACTACAATGAACCTTCCTAAATAAGACTGTTAGGAAGATTTTATCAAATTATTATAATGGTTTTTACATAAAACAAATATCATCTAAAATCTGTAGGACTGTTTTGTGCAGTAGATACACATTTCCCAGGAACTACATGATCATTTAGCTATTTGTAGATACAGGACTGGACGACCTTTACCCAGTTCTGGTTGACTAGATATATATTTTTCTCACAAAGAGTATTTAAACAACTAATTTGGATAATGAGTGAAATTGCAATAAAAAAATTAAAAATGTCTCCACAGAGACCAACCACAATTTCTTTTATAATCCATATAATTATACCAACATAGATAGGATCCTACATCTGAAGAATTACAAATTATTAATATCATGATAAAATTATTCCTGCCCAAGAAGCATTGATTTTACAATAAAATTTTATTTTGTTACCGAAATTATTATTATTCTCTTTATTTCCTCCTTTAAGAAGATTTTACAAACAGAATAATGTAATTATAATGATATATAAGATAATAGATACAAAATCAAATAACTAATATGAAGATCATTAGACTAAAATAATTGGGTGTGGTCTGCTGCTATAGTATCCTAGTTTATTTGGTGTCATGTAGTATTCAATATTCTTGGGTAAAACAGGACACAAATTGAAAATCAGCATATCATATGTACATACAAAGCTACTGGATCGGAAAATATTTTACTGGCACTAAAATATTTGCAAAAATACTATTGTATGATTATTTGTCAGCCCTCTATTAATGAATAAAAAAGAATGAATTGTACCAGTGTTTTGAATGTAATTGCATTATATTTGACTTAGCTGGGACTTGGAGTCAGGGAAGACAAGAGGGAACGTTATATTATGGTCACGCTTGGTTGTAGGTGTATAGTGTACATACATGGTGGATACAATATAGGTAGGATTGGTTAAAACCACTGGTGGGACTCGATGCAAAAATCAATGGTTTTATGCTAAATGACATAGATGAATTTATAAAATAAAAGATCAATCATACAAGACTCATCATAATATATGGTACTATTGAAGTCTCTGAGAGAAAAAAAATTGTCAAACATAATTTTGTTTTAAAATTGCAATGTACATGATTTTTATTGAGAACATTTTTATTGAGAACGTAAACCAACCTAACAGAAGAATCTTGATTTAACTTTAGACACTCTGCTAAATCTCTTTCTTTTTGTGAAGTGTCTTCGTTCTAAGTGTGACTTACATTCTACTCAGTGTCATGGGTGTAATGGTTAAAATGACAGCTTGTACTCCCACAAGGGTCGGAGGTCACAAGAAGCTTGTACTCCTACAAGGGTCAGAGGTCACAAGAAGCTTGTACTCCTACAAGGGTCAGAGGTCACAAGAAGCTTGTACTCCTACAAGCGTCGGATGTCACAAGAAGCTTGTACTCCTACAAGGGTCGGAGGTCACAAGAAGCTTGTACTCCTACAAGGGTCGGAGGTCACAAGAAGCTTGTACTCCTTCCTACAAGGGATGGAGGTCACAAGAAGGCCTACATGATTATTCCAACACAACAGAACAACTTACAAAACTTTATAACAAATAAAATGTGAAAAATGATCAACACGTTTCACTAGCACGATGGGAATAGCATTTCAACCTGTACAGTAAATGTTCAGCTGACTTTTACTAAACTTTTTCTCTTTTAATATCTTAATTTATCATATCTTCCCTGTTTAAATAACACTGAAATGAAACATTTAATGTGTACCATCAGGATAAATTTTATCAAATTAAAAATAGCAAAGAGTACAACAGACAGTTGGAATTGCTTCGTCATTTCAATTTCATATCCAATAATCTCTTTATGAAGAAAGGTCCAACTACTTTTGACGCAACAGAGAAAACTGTTCTACTTTGGCTAGTTGTCAGCACCAGAACATCACATCACCACAGGACATTAGTTCCCTGCACATCAATACCACGTCAACAACGTTAGCACATAGAACTATAAACTCTATTTAGCCTATGTACTACATAATAAATTCAAGTATAAAAATCTTAATAAAATACCAAGAAAGGTAACAGGGAAAAAATCCAACCTCTGTGTGGTACTCTCTGATTGTACTGTAAAGAGCAGGTATATACAGCATGATCAATTATATAGAAAAGGCAAGAGAAAATTATTTTACATCATTTCAGATATAATATAAGGAAAGTCTTCGGAGGCGTTTGTTGGATTTGTATTTTTTCCTTTGCAGGAGGTGAGGTACCATGGCAGGACCACGTCCCTGCTACCTTTCCTGTTCACAGCCCAATTATCTGTTGTACACACAGAAAAAGGATGATAATAAATAGTTACGAGAATAAACGATGTCATGATTAACACACAAAAAAGTACTACTTTGAATTACCACTGGTTTGACATGGTTTACACAATTAACATTCCTGGTCAAGATAACAATTATAAAAACATTTCGTTCTGTTAAATATCCAGCTTCCGGTTGAATTTTCAAACCATCTAACAACTAAATTAAACACATCAGCTATTTAGACACACTCTTCTAATAGTGAGTTTTGTATGATATGAACTTCAGAAAACAATTCTTTCATTAAAACCTAATTGGTCAAAGTCGTCCATGACAATCCATTTCACTCTTTTTTTCCCCATCAAGTATGCAAAAGACATTTTAATGGACTGTGGTATGGTTTTTAAGTACTGTAATTGATTATTAACAGGAGGGAATGCTAAAATTGATCAATGACTATGTAGTTAAAACTGCCATATATTTAGTGAAAATGTACAAATTGTTTCACCTGTTGATCAGGTTTGCACACCTGACAGATCAAAAGAGTCTATCAACAGTTCAGTCCACTACTTGTCTGACAGATGACGCGGCACCATGACGTTAAATACACAGACCGTTGTAGGACTCAACACGGAGCAGTGTTGTATATCAATGTCCACCTGTCATAGAGACAGGAAAAATTGTCAAACTAAGGAGTCTTTGTCGCATGTTGATTGCAATATCTGGTCAGGATACAGTTATAAATATTATGGTACTGGATACAACTTGTAGTAGTTTCGCTGCATAAGTTTAAATGGAGTGGAATTAAAGCTCTGGAATCCCATCAATCCTGGCACTTCCTGTCACATGGTCTCTAGGCAAAGTACATGACCTTGGTGGTATCTGGATGGACTGTGACTGCCCGTGCCATAGCTGTCGGCGTTCGATCCTCACTGTTGTCAGAGTGACGACTGCCCTCTCCACTATAAAACAAGCACAGTATGTCAACATTTTCATTCCTTTAAATAGGACCCTACAAATAATCAGCTGCAATCTTAATTTAAAGTTATTTTCCAGGAAAGAAATTGAATGTACTAACATTATATATTGAGAGATTCTCCACTTAAATTCCTTGTTATTCAAACAGAAATGTAGCTTTATTATTTTGCTCACTGTCGAAATCGGTATTTTTTGCCCATGGTACACATTAATTCATTCATTATCTAGTACTCAATGGTCAAATTTTCTCATTACAATACTGATCTGGGTTAAAATCTACAAAAAAAATAGAAAATGTCTGTAAGACATAAATGCCCCCGTCACCATGTTAAATTAGCTTCAGTGTTTGATGTTCTATAAATAGTTGCAACCACTTTGATCACGTGACAGGACAGACATGGGCAACACTATTACGGGGGCATAAAAACCAACTACTAATGAATGTATGCTTGCAGAATACTGCTATTTCAAAATATTTTTTTTAACCAATTACCATCAACAATTTTATGTATTATGATAAGGTGTTTTTTTCTCTGTCTATTCTGGGTGGACAGTTTAAGTAAGAGAGTTACCTGTCATGTTCTTTCTCCACAAGGTGATAGCGTGCCCTGAATGCCACCAAGTGTGCATAGTAGGCTGGGGCCGGGATGGACACACTTCGTGTACAGCGTACGTAAGTGTGGCACAGCTGGTAGGTCAGAGTCTGCAGCTCATCTGCCTGGAAACGGTTGTCGTCCCATAGTACATGGTAATGTGAAGGCCTGCTCGTACCCTGGATGTTTTTTAAGACACAAAAATCACGTATTAATTGTTTCACAAAAGATTTCCATACAGTACAAAGCAATATTTTATAAATCTAAAATCCCTCAGCTCTCATAATCACCATCATCGGCAGTTAAAGCACCTGTGAACATATCCTTTCCTTACATAATGAATTTTATTTACAGCCAAAACAAAATTACAAGAATAAAACTTATTTAAGAATTTGTTTGAGAAAGGAGATATTCATCAACTGCTGTAACATTTGCCTCATAGTTTGTTTCACATCATTGGGATTTTGTGTTTGCTATCAAGATCAAGGACAGACTGCATGCATGGACTGGAAATCCTACTTCTGTTCTGTCTACTTTTTATCACATCAGAGCACGACATTGTGACCTATGTATGGGAGTTATACCCAAGAACATGTCATCAGCTATTCAACATTTTGTATTTGTTAAAACTAAGTTATACATAAAGTGAATTAACAGTAATATGGTATTCATAATGTAACAAAATGAGTAAAATAATTATAAAAGAAGCACATATTTAGTTAGAAATTTATTTTTGTGAATGAAAACATAATTATCTCCCCTTACATTTTTCTTTGTACTTATGGTTTTGACAAGATTTCGCTGAAATTTTGCATGGCTATACAGTTCTAATTCTAACATTAACTGTCTGTTTGAATTGTTACCTGTATTCCTGCATGGCTATACAGTTCTAATTCTAACATTAACTTTCTGTTTGAATTGTTACCTGTATTCCTGCATGGCTATACAGTTCTAATTCTAACATTAACTGTCTGTTTGAATTGTTACCTGTATTCCTGCATGGCTACACAGGTAAAAGTCGAACTCTGTCGGGTGGGTGATGCCAACGTCAACTGTGGTCCCGGCTGGAATGTTGCCACTACGCCCTATCTGGTCCTTCCGGTCTGCACAGAACAGACGAGTGTGATGTCGCTTCTGTACTACGATGAATGTTATACCTGGCTGATACCCCATTTCAAGCTTCATACAGGCTTCACGCACAGCTCGCAATTCATGTGATAACACCTGGGGATAGAAGGTGAAAATAACACTCAGCACAAAAAATATGTAACAAAGCACCAACAAAGTATAACAGAGAAAATTTTTCTTTGTTATTTCCACCAATTTTTCTTTGCTTAGTATCAACATACATCAACAGAAGACATGTTTTTCTGCTTACCCTATCGATCATGGTAACAAGAGGCCAAGAGGGCCTGTATTGCTCACCGGAATATTAAAGCAGTCATAGCAAAATATTCTCATTAAATATTATATTGCACCAAAAGTATTTCCCTCGCAAACTTTGTTGGCTCCATCTGTTGAAACTACCAGCCCAAATGTTATTTTTGATTCTATGCTCATTTGATTTTTCTTCAGAAGTTGCTTGACATATTTTCCCGTAACCTTGTAAGTAGGTCAATGTCATTTTCCTTCTCAAATTGATTAGCTCTATTCCAAAAAGCTACTAACCAAATCTTATGAATCCATTCCTTTTAGTTCTTAAGAACAAATCCTTTAAAATGTTGTTGACCTCTGTGACCTCTAAAGTAGGTTCAGGTCGCAAACTTAGGTGAGCTCTACCCCAGGAAGTCACCAGCCAAATATTATAATTTTATGCCTTTCGATTATTCAGAAGTCGTTTGATGTTTTTTTTTACATATTAGACCCATGTGACCTTGAAAGAAAGACAAGGTCATTTTCATTCCCAAACTTTGTTGGGCTCCATCCCACGAAGCAACCAGCCAAATTTGAAGATTCTATACCTTTTATTTCTTCAGAATTAGTTGTTTGAAGCGTTTGACATATTTGACCCATGTGACCTTGAAAGTAGGTCATTTTCATTTTCAACCTTTGTCTGGCTCCATCCTAGGAAGCTATCAGCCATATATAAAGATTCTATACGTTTTAGTTCTTCAGGAGAAGTCGTTTGAAGCATTTGACATATTAGACTGCTGTGACCTTGAAAGTAGGTCATGGTCATTTTTGTTTTCAAACTTTGTCGGGCTCCTACTAACAAAGCTTTCAGCCAAATATCATGACTCTAGGCCTGTCTGTTCTTCAGAAGAAGTTGTTTAAAGGAAAAGTTGACGGACGAATTAGGTCGGATGACGGACACTGCACCATGACCATCGGGCAGGTGAGCTAATAATAATTTGAGGTTTTTGTAACCATTTAATCACAACCTAGTTTGTAGGTCGTCTAAAAGAGGTTCACAAATTATTATCCATGGTTTAAGGGCCTTTGCAGACAGCCAATATCTTTCTCAACTCCATGGGGAGCATACAGCCGTTGCTGCTATTTCGTCGCTCAAAGCTAGCATTCAACAATTTTAGCACTGCCCAACCATGTACTCATTTACAGCTAAGTACACTGGAACAAGGGGAGTAAAGTATCTTGCTCAAAGTGCTGTGCTTCGAACCCGCAACCCTTCTGTCACGACCTGGCATCCTACCACTAGACTACTGTGCAACCGTATTTCTAGTGAGTCATCATCCTCAATTCTCTAGAGATTACGCTCACTTAAGCTCTCTACACCCCTTAAATATGACATGACAAAATTGAAGGCTCAGTCTGCACCAGCTTGTAGATGAGACAAGAAGACTAGTTTGATCCTTTGATATACATCAAAAGAATCTAGCAGTGGCATAACAGTAAAATTGACTGACTTTGAAGTCTGGTGTCGTTCTTCTGTAATCTTCAAAAGACAGGTATCAGCCTATAGCGGTTGGTCAGGTTTATTTACCCAAGACCAAATATCTAGCTGCCTGCCTTCATTTTGCTATGAAATATTCCAGGGGTGCACAGACCATAAGTGAACGTAAGCCCTTGAGTATCGAGGATGGTGATTCTGCTTAAGCCTATTAAACCTGATCTGTATCCCTCAGCTCTCATAATCACCGTCATCGGCAGTCTAAAACACTTGTGACTATTTCCTTTCAATGGATAAAAAAATCAAAAGCCAAAAAGGTGAAATTTTAATATAATTTTGTATGGAGTGTTTTGATACAGAATAGAAAGGTAGTAGTTTTGATATAGAAAGGAAATACTCATCAAATATTTAAACGTTTGCCTCATAGAATATTTCACATCATCGGGATAGAAGTACGCATCTAACGTGTCGCTACGCTTTTAAGATCGACTGGTCCCTTTGTCAAGCTATGACCTGTTGTGACACATTTTTAAAACTTTTAATATTGCCTTAAAGCCTACCTGTGCAAACTGGCCCTCGCTGACTCCGTCTCTGTAGAAGATGATACGTGTGGGTTTGAACCGTGTGGCCTTGTAGAAGTGGATGAGCAGCTCTCGTACCATGGTGGAGAGCTCCTGGATAATCTCCTGACGGTGTTGTTGTACTCTCACAGTGGCAGAGTAGCGACTGGGGTGGGCATCCATACTGCCTACCACCTGTACGGCAGACAAGTATGATGGCATAAGAGATGATGCGATTTTAATTTATGCAGCTTTCTGTTTATCATACGATGATCAATACTGATATTTTTATTGTTTTTTTTTGTGTAAATAGATAATGCAGAGCAATCCACTCGCCGACCTTAGACAACCTTTGGTATCAAAATGAGAACTGCTTATAGTATGCGACACTCCACCATTGTAAGGGGTACTTGGGATGCCAAGCTGTGTCTCAGGATCAATCACTACAAAATGTGTGAATGGCAGGAGAAATAGTATAGGAGATATGCTCCAGACAAAGTAATGGACTGACAGACTCACTGATGATACTATGCCTCTTCTGTGGTACTGTTTGGGGAATAATTATAATATCATACCTTTTACAATTTATTTATTTAAATAAAATTTCGTTATGAACTGAGAAGAACTGTTCTCTATTGTACGATACTCACAGCAGCAATAGAGGGTTTACTGGCATCACCGGCAGGAGGATGAGTCACATCAGCTCCCAGAAATATGACTGGCTCTCGGAATACATTGGGTCTGAAATAACATGACACAAACAATACAAACATCAGATACTAACATGTTTCATTAGATTTGTGGGCGACATTGTAGTTTGATTTGTTATGGACAAACTATTTTGTTTTGCAGTGTTTATCTACTCAACTTATCAATTTTACTACCTACAACATTTCTCTATATTATTTATAGATAAGTATTTTTTAAACTTTTAATCTGGAAGCCTCTGAAATGGTTTCTATTCAATATAATCTACAGTTGGCACTCTTAAATGTTTCTCTTGAAATGGTTTCCGTTGGAAATGAGATCTACAATCAACCACTTGAGAGCCACAGTAAAAGACACTGGTGAGTGACCTACCGGATACTTGGAAGCAGAATATTGTTGATACCCCCAAGTTTAACGTTGATCTTGAGACACAGGTTGGAGAGAGTCTGAGGTGTAGTTTTGTTCACATTCTTAGCCTGCACACATTGGGTAGCAAGTCCAAACAGGATGTCTCCCACTCTCTTCACCTCAGCTGTAAGACAACACAATCTTTTTAAACATTGTAATGCATACTGGGGGACCCACCCTGTTCAGGGTGTCTCAATAAAGTATTTTATTTACAGCTTAATTCGTTCATTTAATGATTCAAATTTACTTCTTCAAACACCCAACAAAAATATGTATCCGGGAAAATTAAGATATTTAAGTCAAAACAACTACAGATCCAAGAGTGATCTTGACTCAAACCAATGAAAGATTTTCATGCATGATGTGGCAACTAGTAATCAAAACCTCATACTGCTGTGTTTGGCAGTAAGGTTCTTATTTGTCCTGTTGACCCGAGATGTCTTGTAATCAGTTGCTGAAATCTCATGTTTACATTCTATACTCCACAATACAGTACAAGGGGAATACCTTTAACGTTATTAAGTTCCTCAAGGTTAAGTATCCTACTGGTTTAAATAATACTACAAACTATGCACCTACAGATGACATCTATTAGACATAAATTACTCTTACAGTTAACGTACAATCAGATCTGAAATACAGCATTACATCAGGCTAAATTCTAATAGACATCAACTTGTACTTGGACTGTTCATTCAGACTCGAGGTCTGTCAGTACCACCACATGATTTACGTTCTTTTACCTGATCCTTAACTGGAACTGTCAACAATCACCTCCTACCAAAAATTAGACGGGAAGTTTGACCACATTGACATCTTACCATAGACAGGCGTTTTGCCAGGCAGGACAACCACAATAAGCTGCAGGCCTTGGTAAGTGTTCTTCAGGTACCTAAACATGGGTTCCACCTGGTCTGGACCCGTGGCGTATTTACAGAAGCAGGGCTGACCAACAATAGGCATGCCCGCATCATTAGAGATCCTTTGTAGCTGCTGTGTGAAGTTCCTGCATGAAATAAAAAAAATCCTAAATTTATGGCTTGTTCTTACAGAATGTCATGCTGACCTTTTCATCATCTACATTGCTGGCAGACATTTCACCTCATAACAGCTTTCAATATCAAAATACGAAATAGGAATTAAGGCATCTCTTAAGTCTGGTCATGCATATCTATATATACTTCACCAACTCCCTATCTAATGAAAATGTCCTGCATGAAACTAGTTTTAACATTATAGCATTGCTGGAGATGACACAAAAGTAGTAATTTTAGGTAGAGATATCACCCAATATTGCCCTGCTAAAAGTCGATTAATCCTCTGCATGGGGCTGCCATTTTTTTCTTATCTGGATGTTTGTATTGGGCACGCAGTTGGAGTGAGCCAAGCTTTCATTGATGAAAGTCAAACACTTCAAAATTCTGATTTATGTAGAAGAAATCATCATGATATATTGACAAGTTTGCCCCCAATTTTTGGGGATCTCAAAATGCAAAATCTTGGTACCGATAGTTGTAAGATATCTAAGAAGTTATTGTGAACCTTCTAAATGTTAACACTGAAATAAATCAAACTGGTTATTATTGCCTTGTACATATGAATATACAATTGCACACAGACACTACTAGCCACACCAACTCGACAGCTCACAGGCACGTCCTGTCAGGTGCACTTCAATATTTTTTAAGCTGAAGTTATCCCAATTCTATAGTACAAGTTACAGACTTCCCCATTTCACAGATAAATGAGATGAACTGTAATAACGACAGGTTTCCTACCTGAGAGCGTCCTCACGGACTGTTCGTTGTGGTGCAAAGCAGGCGATTGCCCAGACACGGATCTCTATGCCAGAGAAGAACTGCTTGCCACGCATGTCCCATACACCCTGGTTGGGTACTGCTTGGGCCTTTGTCTGCTTCACAATAAATGGACAAGTCAGTACGAAAATACATACAAGACCACCACTTCCTATGATTGGTGGTCAACACTGGATACAATGCAGAGTATTTAATGTAATACAGTGATTATTATTAATGTTACATTATTAAAATTTACTGATAATCCTGCCGTTGCAAGTGATATTTTTTAAACATATAAACATTTTACTGATAAACCTGTCTATCAAAAAAAGTAATAATTAACATTTTACAGATAAATCTTCCCATCACCACAGTGATATTTTATACATATAAAAAAAATCAGATAAATTTGTCCATCACAACAGTGATTTTTATACATATAAAAAAAAAAAATCAGATAAATTTGTTCATCACCACAGTGATTTTTATGTACATAAATTTTAAACTTATAATCACAATACACTATTATTTATTTTTCTTATATGTATATGAACATTTTCAAGATAAGCCTGCCTATGACAAATACTTTAGTAGTGTATTAAACTATTTATCTGCCAACATAAGTGATGTTTTCTATGTATACATTAACTATTTTGCCATCACAATACATAATCATTATCGTTTCTTATATGAACCTATGACATTACTTAAGTGATTATTTATACAGCTGTATTTTAGCGTTTATCGCAAAACCTGCCATCGCAAGTGATAATCTTATGCTCATATAGTTATTTCTTCTATTATATCTCAAACTTCACTGGTAATCTAGACAATTTAGCCAATTGAAATGTTTTCTAATTTACCAATATTAATCTATTTTTACGAGTAGATGTATTTTCAAATTACATTTGAATTAAATTTTACCGTCAACATCCATTTTACCAAATTAATAAAAGAAATATTCTAACCTTTCACTGCAAATTTTAATTATCATTGTTTTTGTTTTACAAATCTATGATGCATCAAATAGTTTAACATACATAGCAATTGTTTCAAATATTTTCAAATTCAAGTATTATTATCAAATGAAACAAATCACTGTTTTAGTAATCTAGACAATACTTTTAATTATTCATCATAATTTGTCTCCCCTCTCCACTCACTGGATTGACAATAGCGATGAAGACCTAAGAATGATATGTTGGAGCAAATTATTTTGGGATGAAAAAAATAAAGAAAAAAGCAAAAAACAACAACTTTTCAGATGATTAAAAATAACATGAAAGTCTACTAAAATAAATAACAAACACTTAAAGATAAGGATTACTAAGGTGATTATTTCTATAGGACAAAGCATACATTTAAAACCGAATTTGACGTAATGCACATAAACCCAGGGATCTACAAAATCATATATATATATTTTATTAAATAAATAAATTTTCCCTACTTAAGTACTGTTTGGTAATATAATGATATTCAACATTCATTTATACCTCTTGTTTGTGGTTAGAAATGTTTTCTAATACATTTTTGGCCCTTTTTCTTCAAATTTTATATTTTCAAATAATCAATTTTTCACAAAGTAAAATAAATTCAAGTCATTCAATTTTTCTTTCTTTGTTGTATTGAAACTCTAGTATTTCATCAAATATTTTTAACTCTTCCACTCTCAAATTTAATATTCTATAATTTGCAATAATTTGAAAGATCATATATTTTCTACTAAATGAGAAATTTACTAACATTGGAAATAAATTTATATATAAATTCTATACTACCTTCCACCCTGCAACACTACAAGGACGGCCTTACCCACAGCTGTAGGACCAACCCGTAGTGTCACACACATGAATTTGTTATTAATTAGTTGTTACACACAGAAAGAGTTTGGTACATGGTACATCCAGGATTAATAAATACAAACAGAAAGATTTATAGGTTAGACACTGTACAACACTCTACCTGTACTTCACCCCTGGACTTTTTTCAAATGATTTGAAAATAAAACAGTTTTTCACTCTCAATTCAAAAATAATTTCAAGTGGGGGGTTTTCAAGATAAAGCCAGTTCCTACCGACACAAGCTCACATGACAATGAAATCGGCAAAATCGATGGAATTACTTTTTAATAAAAGATAGGTAAGTATAGAACCAAATGATCTGGATCAAGATTTTTTTTGTCATTCTCCTGCCCATGTTTTCATCAGTGATTAAATGTTTCACATGCAATTGATAACTCTAATACTGGTCGTGTCAACACAATAATCTATTTGAAGTTCCCCCCAAAAAAACCCGAGTTGAAACAAAACTTTTTTTCTTGTGATCAATATCCACACTATAATCTTTCACATGCAAGCATGATTAGCAAATAAAAGAAAACATTTGTCATGCAAGTGAAAAAAAATGGCACTTTGGATAATGATTTGATCCTTTAAACAACTGAGCTACTAACCCTTGCTTCCTCCTCTAAATAATGAAAACTTATCCCATGGATTCCTTTGTAACTCTATGCAATAGTCCACCCTTTATCTGTTTATCTTTATTTTCAGGTAAGCACTCAAAACTGTCATTTTTCAGTCTAATTGACAAAGCCATTTTCATATCTTGGACAAAGCACTCATAATGTACCCCAGACAAAATAAATATCAAATTTTCCCATTTTAGAAAAGATTTTGATGAATGTTACAGAAATATTTCAAAACATTAAAAGAAAATCCTGCTCAACAAAACTTCAAATAATCAATCAAAAATGTGACATATTCATTTCCTTAGCTATGCCAATGACAAGACTTTCCCTGATAATCCGCAGACAGAAATAGCCACAATTCAAGATTTAATCCACACAGCGCAAAGCAAATATATTTGGTCATAACTTTGAAAATCAGCATCCAAAAGTTAACACATTACAGACAGACAGAACAAGAGCAACTCAAGTCAAAATGTAAATCTTTGAAAACATAAAGAGGATAACACAAGGATTTGGTTTGTAGGTCGTCAAAGCATGGGATGGAGGAAGAAACCAAATGAAAAGATAGGTTGATTTGAATGCAGTAAAGACAAAATGAAGTTTTGAAATTCAACATCCCTATATAACTGGGAACAAGCAACAATCCAAGGTGAGAATAGGTTGGAAGCTTTGTAACCAAGGCAGTGGAAATGAGGTGTTCTGATTGGTTGTACCCATGCCATAACTCCTGACAACAGCAGTTGTCTGGCAACAGTAATGACCTTGACAATTTGACGGCATGGCAACACAATAAACTAGAGGCAGCAGCCGACAGAAGTGGCACAGAGATTTGCCAGTGAGATAACACAATGGATGATCATGGCTGCTTCGATGGTCTGATCAATGAGATAGTTACGTGACATATCGGCTTTTCGTTCTATCTTACCCTTCCTCCATATTGTATTTTTGGGGGCATCAGGACTCTGCCCTGAACCTCGGCCATCTGGGTTTGAATGCTGATTCCAAACATTTGCAGATACGGGTCGGCATTGAAATTGGCTTTGCGAACCTGGGGTAACAGATGGGGTTGTACAAGAAAAAAAAAAGTCAAACAATTTGTTTTTTGTTGCTGGAATGCCAGAGCACACACGGGAGGTGACGTGCTGGTGGCCATGCCAACCTGTAATGGCGCCTTTGGGAGGCCCCTGTAATGGGCACCATGCCAAACCTATGGATGTACCGGGGATGGTCAGCAATGCCAATGCTAAAAACTTGTGACATCTACCAAAAAATAACAGCACTGTACATGCTACAATTCCTTTGAGGAGAATAAAATTTTATGAATTTCAACAACAGTTTATTTTATCCGATGTTTATATTTCAAACTGTCACTTATTTTTTGGTCGATAGATTTATGTTAGTTTTATGCATTTAACATTGCTTTCCATTCTGTAGACAAACATGGCCTCAGGAATCCATAAAACCACCATAACAGATTAAGCAAGACAATCATTTCACTTGCACAAGCCAAATTGATCCGAGATTTGAAGACAATATTAATTTCCAGAACACCCCCATATTGTCCAAAGATTAAACTTTATATTTTCCTTAGAGACTGTTGCTATGGTCTATGGATTCCTGCAACCAGAAGAACAATCAGACATGATATTACGTGGCTGTGGAGCAGTGAGAGGAAGGAATTGGCGCATACCCTGCCGCCGTACTCTATCCTTGGAGGTGGCAGCACGCGACCCCTGACCTCCGTCATTTGGTAGTTGACACTAATCCCGAACGTTTGCAGGTAGGGATCTTGGTTGAAATCGGCTTTTTGTACCTAATGGTAGGCAGCGATGGAGCAACATGGTCATCAACAAGGCATATATATATTTGTTATACAAGATGCTACCATGACAACAGTCCCTATCAGTTTACTTTTATCCTTTGGATAAAGGAACTGTTATTTACCATTTACTTAAACTTTTGTGATTTGTTATTCTCCAGATAATAGCATTCAAATGAATCAATTATTGGTTAATAGTGACTTTTGGATTAAAGTTAATGGAAGTTAAGAAAAATAAATCAAGTTAAAATCAAAATTGAAGTTCACACATAACAGTCCAGTTTAAGTAAATTTATTTTCTATTTATAAAATACACTGTGACATGTCATTAGTAGAAAACAATCATAGAAATCAAACATTTTGAAGCATTGAATTGTTTTTGTCCTTGACATACAGCGGTTTTTGCACCCTGGAAAATGTCATGATGAAATTGAGGTTTTTGCACCCTGGAAAATGTCATGATGAAATTGAAAGCTCTGTACACGCAATCTTGTGGATACTAATAGTTGATTAGTTTGATCCTTTAAAGTACATCAAAAGAATTGGATGGCAGCGCAACTGAATATTTCTAGTTTTACAATCATGTGTTGCTCCTCTGTGAAATTCAAAGGACAGTTATCAACTTGATGATATTTGGTTGTTTTTTCTTAAACTTTAAACCAATCTGAATCAAATAGCTTGCTTTCAATTTTTTCATGACATATTCAAGAAATGCAGAAAATGTAAGAGAGCATAAATCATAATTCTGAGAATGAATTGTTTTGTGCGAGACTAATAATTTCCTTTGCTTTAACATGTTGCCATGGTAGTACAAATATATACAATAGGTAATCAATGACTTACCTCTCATGGAAATGACATTTAAAAGAGACTCAAAGTTAGCCACATGTTTGAGTTTTCTTTATAAACCTTTCAGATGAAGACATATCAACAAGTCATTAAAAACTAAGTGTTCGTTGAAATGAACTGCGAGTTGAAAGTTAAGCCTGATTGACAAGTGTTTTATACTAATGGCAATCCGTATAAAACATTTTTTTATATACAAACAGAATGTAATCAGTGAATGTTCATTTCCTAAATAGGATTGATACTGTTTGGTTATGTCTAAATCATAATCTCAATCTTGTGACATGATATAAAGCATGTTTCAACTTGATATAAGTTGAAATACTATTATTATTTTTTTACCTATCAAGTCGTTAACATATCCCCACATAACATAATCCAAAGTTAACAGTTCATCAGTCAGTGTTTTGGAGATTTTGTACTTGTGATCATTATAATTTCTATTATTTCTATACACATATCAGTACGTACCATATAACCCACCTTTGATCATACACAAGTACTTACAAGGTTATTGATCTCCTTTTCTCTGTCGGGGGCAGATCTAGCTGTGGCCTAAAATGACACAAACAGATACATTACCAATACAGTCACTCAAAGCTTTTCCATATTAAGGCTTATAACTAGTAAGAATACTGTACACATTTTGGTATTAATGTATGGAAGCCTTGCAATTACTGTTGCTCCACTTTGATGGAAGTACACATTGGATAGAAGAATTGAAGACTTCAGGACAGTACATCAAAAAGTGATTAATTTCTCTATTACTTTTGAGGAACAAAACAATTTGAATAATACAATTTAAAACTTAAACAAAAAATTTAAACGTTTATTAAATGTCATATTTTCTCTTTAAATCATCAATTGCAAATATTCAATAATACTGCACAAATTTCCATTTTGACAATTCTCACCACCTTTTCAAACTGAAAATCGTTATTCTGCAGTTTTACCATTTATCAGAATTAAATTAAACGAATGACAAGTAAAAGTACAAACTAGCTACTATCAAAATCAAAAATACATTTTAGGATTTAAAACATAATGTAGGTAGCACCAAACTAAAATCACAAATTATGTCAATGGCAGCGACCACACAGGCATACACATGTCCAGGGGTTAACAGCTTCATCAGACCAGCTTTTACAGAGAGACATTGAATAAATCAAATTGTATATCAGTTTACTGTTAAAATATCTTAATTTCAGAACAAATTAGATTGAGCAGTTGGAAAAGCACATTTTAATGCATGAAACTAGCATGCCAAAAAGACCTGTATGAAGAATTATGATCAGATTCACTATATACAATGAATGATGTTCTGAATCACTCTGTTTAAGCAATCGATAAAATAATTATCATGGAAATATCAAGGATTTTTTTAGGTGTGACCTTGAAATATACAACACTTACCAAATCAGCCAGCGGACAAATCTTATCTTAATTGTACACATTTATTTGCCAGAAGGACCTGTACGAGGAAATAATGCAGACAGAAGCACAACAGAAAGCCAAACCAAACAAAGGTCGGAGAAGCATAGGCCAAACACACTTTTACTAATGTCTATAGCATGAAATGATGGAAATAATGCATGATCAAATCCATATACAGAGTTTCCTTTTGTCTCGCAATTTCTAATGCCACTGGTAACATAAAGACAATAAAACAAATATTTCAAAACCAACAAGCAGAAAAGCTTTTTTTTTTTTTAAATATCAGAAACCAGTCAATATTTGTTTGTAATGAATGTAAATAATGTCGGAATATTCTAGCAAAAACTTGTAAATCTAGCCAGACAAAAAACACTTGTAAGACCAAAGTGAAATCTCAAGTAAGTTTCAGCTATATACAGCAACAGCCAAGACAAGGCATAGAAATATGCCTCCACAAAACCATAACATGGAGACATACAAATATGCCTCCAACTATATACACAAACCCAATTCTTCAATATAGGTAAAAACATTCCTTCCACAGAATCTTATTACCTAACCAGTAGTTCCAAAATTTGTAAAATTCATGTTAAATTTTTCTCAATTTTTATTTCTCTGGTAAACCAATGACTACTCTAACAACATTTTCCATTAATATGAAATAACAGAATCCTATTTTAAATAATTCCAAGAAACAAATAAGTCTGCAGAACATATAATATTAGAGTCAATCACTTCAAAATTTCATGACAGAAGATACCATGCAACATTCAGTCCAAACAGAAATACAGAAAATGACACCCAGAAGTAGTTCATGATCAACAGGTAGCTAGGAAAACAGATGGTAGAAACAGTCGAGGGCTGGGGGAAATCATGACCAAACATCCTCAGTAAAAACCTCTATTGCAATGCTTTTTCTCTTTTATGGTACGAGAAAAACAAACTTCCTGGTTTCTGAATTCCTGCTGCTGCTACCAACAACAACAGAAGTGCAAATAAAGAACCGCAGATGTTTGCTTTTGGTGTGGTCTTTAGGTGTATATCACAACAGGAGAAATACACCTAATTACATCTCTGTTTAATATTAGAATTGCTACTTGATAATCGTGATGGAAAACCACCCGAGAGATTTTAGTTTTCCCCTTCAGTGTGTATGCCTCCGAGATCTGCTGTATAGAGATGGCAACTTATTTGAGAAACCTTGATCATTGTAGATGTCTGCATGTCCGTCAGCTTCTTGATACACCTCTGGCCTCCCACTACATTGCACACCTGTAAATACAGAGAAAGGAGGAAATGAGACATAATATATAAACAAGTTAAACAAAGGGACCATTAACCTAGATTCTCTCAGAGTATATATACTTCCCAGAGGAGTGCAGAATGAGGGGCTGTCTCAATAGACATAATCTATAAACAAGTCAAACAAAGGGGCAATCAACCAAGATTCTCACAAAGTATATATAGTTCCCAGAGGAGTGCAAAATGAGGGGCTGTCTCAATAGACATAATCAATCAACCAAGATTCTCACAAAGTATATATAGTTCCCAGAGGAGTGCAGAATGAGGGGTTGTCTCAATAGACATAATATATAAACACGTCAAACAAAGGGGCAATCAATCAAGATTCTCACAAAGTATATATAGTTCCCAGAGAAGTGCAGAATGAGGGGCTGTCAAAGTATATATAGTTCATAGAAACGTGAGTGGAGATTGACAGGCTAATTTCTGATTGTTTATATGTTATGTCAACAAATAAAGGAAATTAACATACAATCAATAGACAAGTAAAGCAGCTAGGAACCATACTGTTATATTTGAAAATACATTGAAAGGGGTAAAATAATGGGCTGCCTCTACATATACACACAATGGTCGGATGAAGGGCCGTCCCCACAATGTGACAAGTAATTACTTAGAAAGGGCAGGACTCTCTGTCAGAGCCGACATCACACGTATACAATACAATACTTTAACATATTATATAGACAACAGTCTGACAAAAACAATCCTCCTCCAAATAGTAACCTGTGTTACCTAGAATGGTGCTGGATCTTAATACAGTGATGGATACTTGAGTATGATACTGGATTTACATGTGGGTGTCACAAGGTTAAGTCAGGGAAGAGGTCACATTTCAGCAATAAGGATGTATTACTACTATTATATGGGGAAATAGACAGGAGATGCTATATCACTTATAGGTCTATCATCATCGCTATGCCTAGTGAAGCTTAAGGTCTGTAAATAGAGTATATTTTACTGTTGTTAACTTGCCGCTGGTAGCTTAACGTACCTCCAGTGGTAGATAGGTATGCTTCTGTTCTTGTCCTACTTGTAAACATGGTAAATGAGGGTACCTGTAAAAACCGAACACAAAAATCAGAAATTGTTTCTCAAAACTGAAGTCTGATCTTGTACAGGACAGAATTCAAGACTTCATTTTACAGATCAGTAACATAAAGTAAAATAAATTTACATTTTTTGTCTACTTTGAAAATTGTTTCCATTCATTTAATAGTTTAATGTCCTTCTGACTCTACCTAAACGTAAGTTATGAAAGTAACGAAAATGAAATGATTGTAACTTACTACATCTTCAGTCGTTCTATAATGCTTCAATTCTTATTTATGGATGTGAGGAAATGTTTCGATAATCAAGTCAACAGAACTAATACATTAGGATACTTTCAGCTTTGGCCTAAATTCTACAGGCTACCTGGTCCATCCCGATACCTAACTACTTCAGCACTTACATAAGTTTCATCTTGTATCTTTCCAGGAAGTATCTGGCGACTGTACATTCCACTGTCTGACCAGAGTCTAACTGTAGAGGGAATCTGGCAACAAATATTGGCATCCAATTCAGCAAAGGATCAAACCATAATAAATGTTAACTACAAGGTTTAAAGAACATGTGAACAGTGCTGCATTCTTGTCAGCCAGTGACTGTAATATAAACAAGCTGATGAACACCCACACCTGGGCTCACTATTTATGGATATGACATTTTGCACAATACTCTATAAAATATATTTAAATTCTGCAAGAGGAATTTTTGCTAAAACTAAACTTTTTATTAAAGTACACCTTCATCCAAATAGCTTTGTTTTAAGTTAACTTTACATGAATGGCTTAACAATCGTAAATGAATCGGGAAATATCACTGTGAAAGTGAGTGTCTAAATATAAGTGTCCTGAAAATAAGTATCTGAATTACGAAACGTTGCAATAACAATGGTAACAATGTATGACTATAGTACAGCTGGAGTGATCCTATTTTACTTACGACTGAGTTTGTGCTGGCCTTCGCGTGACATTACACACTCTGTATTTTCTCTTCATTGTCCCACAGTGAGTAATTTCTACTTTAAGGCCTGTAAAACAACAATAGGATTTACACAGAGAAACATAGATATAAACAAGTAGTGAAGTACACCTGTATTTTATTTATTTTTTATTTTAACTAGACAAAAAGTTGAAAAGTTTCCACTAATTTGAAAACTGGTAAGGATAATGACAGGAGCATCTATACAATGTTTAATAAAAGTTGATCTGGTGGAATTAAGAAATGATAAAAAACATCTGAACCAATCAGAGGAAAAGTGGCCACAATCCCAAAATAACAGTATATATACCTGTTCAGGACAATGGGATTCAAATCTAGTTTTGTTACTATTGGCATAACGAAAATTGAGGAAATGTCAGATGTCTCAGCCAATCAGAGGCCAAAGAAACCATTTTAAATTTCAAATCCATTCAATTTAATTTATCAAAAGGTTGGTGATGCCCATTTTCTTATCAGAACTGGAGAAGTTAAAAATGTTCTTGTGCTATTTCCCAAAGTGGGCCTTACCCCTCTCCCATGTGTGGAGTGCCACACCCTTATTTATACAGCACCAAATTCTTTTGGCTCAGAGATAATCAATGCAAAACCCATTGATATAATAGCTGACCAGAAAGGGCCTCTAAAGGTAATAACCTGGTACCGTGATACCTTAATGAAAGATCTTGCCCACTCAACCGAACATCATAATATCAATTTCATATTCTGTAATTAATATGCAGTGTTTACCTTTAATTTCCTTTGTGAACTTGACCCTTTGCGAGTCAGTCAGAGGTCGTTTCTGTTCACTGATGTCTTTGATATCCAAAACCTCACATAGGAACTCTATCACCGGCTGAGCTTTATAGAACGCTGTGGCAGACACTGGAATAACAATCAGTTCCCTCAGTTAATTGCCATAGGGAAATTTACTTATAATCATGGAGTATAAACAATTTCAGGAGATTTTGTTCCAAGCAGAAATACAATCTTAGAGTGTTGTACAGTTACAGTAAATTATCAGGTGAATTTCATAAGCAAGAAAAAGTAGAAGTGTGATATCTAGCAGGCAGAAATACTATGTACATTACTGATATAGAAATTTAATATCTTTCATATATTTGAAGTTCCCTGTGAAATCTGTTAACAACTATTCAATATGCATAATCATGCATACTTAATTGACGTCAGTTATTGTATGTACCTCCAATTATAATTAGTTGCTGGAAAAAGTTCATTTTCAGACAAGATTGGTACCAAAAAAAATGGTAGTTTAGACTTAAAATTACCATCAATGTTGAGCATCATTTTCCAGTGGGATGGGCGAACACTTTGATGAAAACCAAACCACACCTCCCTGCCTCCTCCTAGGGGATGGTCATACCCCTCTGGTGGGGAGAAAAACGATCGACCCACAGGTGTGTAGCTAGCAAAACATAAACCACACCCACATAAGACTGACTGGTCAGTGATAAATCTTTGGGATTGCTCTGTGAAATCACAGAGACTTAAGTGTTTTTTCATGACCCTGGCACACTTATAAATTCTTCAAATTATTTCATAAATGAAAATATTTCAAAAACCTACAACTGAACATGGTATTGCAAGATTTCCAATCCAAGGATCAGTTTGAAGATTATTGCTCCTTTTTATACTAAAATGTGCAAAACGACCTTAATCTATGGTTTTCAGACCTTAAAACAATTCCAAGTAAGAACTATTGGTACAGAAAAGGAATATAGGTTTTAGTTTGACTGGTCCATGGCACTTCAGTGATTCTGAATTTAGCTTTGACCTGGAATGAAGCTAACACTTCAGTCAAACTTCACCAGCTGTCATGATATATAGTTACTTGAATTGTATATTTATTGCCAAGACAGAAATAAATTCTATCCAATCATTTTTAAAGTCTTATATCCATGCAGAGAAACTAAATAGATCTGCTACATCTTAAAGCCCATGAGATACTTTGTAGTTCCTATAACACCATATTGCATCTGCATTTTTTGTTCATAGTGCTCAACAAGAAAATTGTGATAACACATTTAAAATATTAGCAGAAACCCAGATTTAACTTTTTCTATACCATATTTCCTAGTCTTTTTAGAATAAATTCCGGAAGTTACAAAACACATTGTTTCATTGATGCCACATGGGGTTACGGATCAGACAGCGGTTTTTGCAGATGCTGTATGGTGTCAGAGGTACTGAAAAAGTTATTATACCAGAAAATGTTTGTAAGACATGAAAGCCACTGCTCCCATGCAAATCAGTGTCATTTTTTTACACATTTATATAGCAATGAAAAAGTAAAGTTAAGGTAATTCAACTAGTTACAACTGAAACTTTGGATTTTGTATTGATTCTCTTAATTCTCCACATAATATTCTGAACATAATTTGGATGGCTAAATAAAACATCATGGAAAAAACATAAAGACATAACTATATTTATATTTCCCTGGAACATTAGGGTTACAATCTTATATTTGTCCTACCACCGGTGTTAGTATGTGTGATTACACAAGTATACATAGACTTGCATTAAAAATTAACATATTGATCAGCATTTAGTGTATCCTGTTTCCTGTCTTCAGTACACAATTGTACAAACTTTCCTCTCTTACTAACAAGTACATTTGTTTTAGTGCTACAAATAGATAATAATACATTATGTTTTGACTTTAAAACATTTCTGTCACAATTAAATTGCATTTCACAGGTGATTGTTTCATTATCGTATTAAAGGAGAATTTAGTGAATTGAGTACCTGTGAAAATTTATCAGTTAATACAACAAAAGTTTATATTGTGATTTTTTTCTTGTTCAGGATACTGCTATAGATAAAGCTGTTACAGGGAGGTTTCATAATATAGTTTTAGTATTTCACCAATAGAAAGCACAAAAATATAAGAGTACTACAGAATTAGTTGTGTACAGGAAAGATTAGGACAGGGTACATGTAAATAACATTAACAAACATTTATACATGTATATGAAAAGTTAAGAAATAATGTCTATTTCAAAGGATTTTACTTCCTTACGGCCTGAATAGGCCAACACTCAACTTTTAATTGCTATTGCCAATGTCGACTATTTCTAGCAAGCCCTCCTCAATGACTACGAATATTTCTACCATGTGAAGCTATGATTAAAAGCCATATCACCCTTCAGGCAAATACGTATACAACAACAGCAGCATTGTTGCCTTGTATTTATCATAAATAGAAGCTTTTGAAATCTTTCTGTTGCGCTGGCACACCATTTAACTTTATACTGTGGACACCATAGAAAACATGTGGACTCTGGGCAATGTATCCCCCTTTAAACCTGACCAACACCATGTTCCTTCAATCAAGGAATTATGTATCCCTATTTTTACTATTATAAGCCCTATCTACCTGTTCAACTTACAAAGTCATAACGTTAGTGCTACAGAGGAACTGAATGCCTTATTTCCCCTTAGTTTAGTGAGACGACAACGTAACAACAAGTAATGGTATGAAAATGAAATTATGATACAGAGGTGAAAGGTCATACCTCCTTGCATGGGAGAAGTAGCATCAATCAGTCAAGGCACTTCACAATATCAATACACATTTTCTTCCAATATGACAGACCTTTCAACTCTTGCATTTAACATAACACTGTACAACATGCATGCATACCAATATTACACTTATAAAAGAAAGGGTTCTCAAAATCAAATACTTTGTGGAGTTGCTAGCTTTTTTTGTGAAAAATGAAATGGTTATCATTTGTGAGTTACTTCAACTTGTTTAAGATGTAGAAGATGTATTAGTTGGTGTAAACATATTTTTACACACACACAAATATACAAAGAAACTGTAGTTCTCATATTTAGCTAATATATAATTTAAAAGAAACAACACATTTTTAAAACCTTTCTGTGTTCTAAAAAATAGTGCTTCCCATATTTGGCTAAAAAAAATAAAAAAAAAGAAACTTCACATTTTTAAAACCTTTTTGTGTTCTAAAAAATAACCTTTTTCAAAACTGTTACTACTTCACAGGACTATGCATGGTTTGGGCCTGTTTTGGCCCCCAAATGCATCAAAATTCAAAACCTTTAAATGAACTTTGAAATTAATGTTTCTCTTATTTCGAATACTTCCCAAATATTATTATGAAAATATTTATTTTATATTTCTAATTATTGTTGCCATGGTAACAAGTTCAAATTTGTATAAATTAGAAAAAATTGAACATTCAGTGAATATTGTGATATTTTGCATAGTTTTTCTCCTAAAAATTATAGAGCGCATGCTTGAACAAACTTAATATCAAAGGATAATGTGAAGGCACCTGTAATACATCTTAAGGAGAAATATAAAGTTTGTTCAAGAGTGTGCTCTATGGTAGATAAGAGAAAAACTAGGTGAAAACCTGTCAAAATTGACTGAAAAATCAAATTTCAATTATTTATGCAAATATGACCTGGTTACCATGGCAGCCAAAATTGAAAACACAAATGAATGTTTACATAATAGTACTGGGAAAGTATTCAAAATTAAAGAAACATTCGTTTGAAAGTTCTATTGCAGATTTTTAATTTTGATGGATTTGGGGGCCAAAAAAGGCCCAAACCATAGATAGTCCTTTAAAATGTAACTTTACCACTGGCATTAAAGCAATCTTCACAAATGATGATCATACATGTATGATGATAGCCTGAGGATGTATGAAACATGATGAAAGTTAAAAGAGCTCTTCTGTTTCAACCAACTTTCATAGCAGAATATCTCCAACCATACTGCTAGATCATGGAAGAATTTTGAAGCCAAATAAATCTTTCCAGAGATTAAGACAGATTAATACAAAATGTGGGATGAAAGAAAAAACAAAAAACAACAAGCAATGAACAATGAAAAAATGAAGAGATGCAAGAGTAGTGAAAGTAAACCATGCCTGCAGTAAAAAGGACCACTGATCATGCCAAGCACAAGGGTAAAATTTCATGTATTCAATTTTCCTTTAAAGTCCATTGTTGATGGTAGAGTGAAGGAGAGAGGGTTGATGTGTTTATAGTGCAGGAAGAAGGAATACATTGATATCTGTGCAGTCAGATGAGTGAAAGAGAATGTTAGCCATGAAATACTTCAACAGCAAAAACTTAATCTAGAAACCAACTGGGATGAAATCCAAGGGGAGATAACTACAATACACAATCCCAATAAAACATACAATCTACATATTTAACGAATTTTTTAACATCCAATCTGACAAAATTCTGATGTTACATTTTGCTTTCCAAATTTCATTTCAGAAAAAAAATCATCAAAATACTGAAAAACTTGAGCAAACACTGTGTGGCCTAACAGCTTTGTCTTTGTTCTCAGGATCGAACACTTCCAATATCACAATTAGCATGTACAAAGTTATAATGGCCTGAAAGTCTGAACATGCTGAAATGTGATTTTTTTTTTTTCACTTTTTGTGTCTTGTGTGGCCTGAAATGTTTAATCCATGTTTCAGGGTCAGTCTATACTCACGTCATGCTGGGAAGATGACGTAATATGACGTCTAGGGCCTGGGTTGCGTCAGTGGGAACCTGGTGTATACGCCCCGCTAACGACTCTTCAAGAGCAAACAAGCTCACTTGTGCCTGCCATTTGATGACTACGTTAAATTCTCTATCTTTGCCCTCGCCCGGTAATGTTACTTGCAACTCGACCTGTTAACAATAGACAAAACCGGCCACTCCATGTTAGTACTAAACTATGATACGCCACACCTAGACACATGGCCTGGCCCTTCTTAGGAGCAGGTCTTGGATGACACCCTAGGAATTGTCTCCTAAGGCGTGAATCCCTGTGACAGGGGGCATGCGAGGCCCAGACACTGACCAGGTCAAGGGCCTCCTCAGTGTTAATACTAGGTAAGTACACGCTACATACATGTCATCCTGACCCATGGTTCTTTGTCCATCATATACATCTTTGTTTTGCAAGTTTGCAACAACCAAATCCTTGATTAATTTCACAATAACAATCATGCAATTCATACCAAACTAAAAAATATTGCAATCACACTGTTATTGGGTAGGTGACTTGATAAGTTTTGATTTAAAAGATAAATAAATGACATAAATCTGTTGGTCCTCTTAAGTTTTAAACTCCATGGAATGTTTTTTTTAAATTGATAAATTGACTACATGATGGACAAATACAAACATGCGACAACATGAAAAGATGTTAAAAGTCTCTAGGTTACTAAATAACAACACACAATACACAATGTTAATGCTAGACAGCTCCGAGGCAAGACAAGACACTGTCAGAGGGTATGTATGCACATGAAATGGTCAGGCAGACACATACGACAGGCTGGCAGCAAGGCTAGACCGATCCCTGCTCAACTGACCGCCACGTTGAGGAATACTTACGTCATGCTGGGTAGGTGCCTCATTACAACATCTAGAGCCTGAATCGCCTCAAATGGCATTTGCCGCGATCGTCCTTCAAGAGCCTCCTCCAGCGTATAGAGACTGACTTGTGCGACCCACTTTATAGCAACTTTGAAAACCCTATCTTTGCCCTCGCCGGGCAGAGTTACTTCTAACTCCACCTGTCAATGCAATCAGCATAATTGTCTCAACAAGAGGACTTACAAGTTATGTTTTTAAGCCTTCCACCTCACTTTCAGTACCAACCACAAAAAGGCTATTAATAAGCACTCAAAAATCTGAGTATTCATGATATTTACAATAACTTCCACCCTTATAGAGAATTTGATTTCTTATTCATGATATTTACACTAACTTCCATCCATAATAGAGAATTTGTTTTCTTTACTTTCCCCCCCTCAAAAAATTATCAAAGTCATACACTAAATTTACAATATCAATTATAAATAACTATCGGAATAGCACAACAGGGTTTTGAAAGGGTATACAGTAAAATATATTATATAACAGCAGCAGCCTATAGTTACTGGAAATTCATGCACAGGCAGTGTATCTAGATAGCTAGTCGTGTGACCCTGTTTTACTGTGGAAGAGATTGTTTGGATTTTATCTCAGGACTATTCTTATCCAAAATAAAAACTGCCAAAGACTAACAATAAGAGTCATGTGATCACGTTTAAATATTTTCACAAAGAGGAGCGGTAGTTGATCACGTTTCATAACATTTCTGTTTATACATAAAACATTTGTGATGGTAATCGAGATAAAAGACTGGATGGTGGGACAGTATTTCTACAGGGGGGTGAATGTGTAACATCAATATATCAATATCTTTTTAGTTCTTTAAAATATCTTGGTGCACTTAATATTTCAACAACATCAAAGCAAATCAGAGTGCTGAAAAGCAAATCAATGCAATGTCAGTATATTTTACAACCATCACTGATTGTTAGATTTGAATTAACTAAATTCAGAAACTGTTAGAAATAATTTGCATCACAACTTACACTCGCTGAAGTTTATAACTACAATCCTATAGTAAATGGTATTTTCATATTTAAGTATTACAATTATGACTCGAAAGATGGATTCATAATGATTTGTTTTACTGTAACCACCGAATCAAGACATAGATTGCTTATGCATAAAATGACTGGAACAAAAACATAATCTACAAATGTATGTTTGTTTTGTTATTTCTAACTCACGAGCAACAGAATTTTTTACTAAAATGTGGAAGTACAAGTTTGCCGACCATTCGAGTCAATAACAGAGATATCTTTGCTTTGATCTTACTTCTATAAAACAAACATAAGCTCTATGATATGGATTTATGTATATTTCTCAATGAGTACAAAAACACGATGCACCTACATAGATCGAGTTAGGATAGATTTAAATACACCGGATCCACTAAACATTGCTAAGTATATATTGGAGGAGTACACGAATGACAATATACCATTCTACCATATAACGACATATTATACCATTCTATGGGAGACTGACATAAGTTGAAAATATACCCTTCTTTGGAAGACCAACAAATTATGTCTATGATAATACAATTCTGTAGCAGACTGATAAATTATGTTTGTGATTATTTAAAACAGCAATTTATTTTTTTCCTTTTTCCAGTAGACTTTAAAAATCTTATATCTTATTAGAAAAATGTATCCATCATAACAATCATGTTGTGAAATCAATTTTGACCTTTTGCACTCCATGTCTGTATAATGGAACGAGTTAAATGTGAGGTTATATTAATAACAGTGTAACACAATAACAAATATGATTCTTGAACAAATTATATGTTAACACTAAAAGCTGAGAAAAAGCCAAACTGCCCTCAGCTTAAAGCATACAAAAATTCATAACTATTATTTGCATAAATGCTGAAAAAAACATTGAATTAAAGTGAATATCTCTCCGCAAGTTTCTTTCAATAATCAAAATCTGAATAAGACTTTATTAAATAACATTTTGCATTAAAAACTATCAATAAAAGTCTTCAATTAATAGTTTCTGGACTGGCCTTTTTGACCTTGTGATCTTGATATTTACAATCATCAGACTTTGTTGTTGTAAGCAAATAAATATTCAAATTAAAAGTATATTCCCTATATGTCTTTGCCTACATTTTGTATATATGACTCTATTAAAGATGACTTTTAACCTGCATGTGCTAGGAAACCTTGACCCAAACAAGCTTTATTTATGAATTTCTTTCACCTTTTCCCTGCCAATCGGAAGTGGCTCACGGCTGTAAAGATTCTTTCTGCCGTCAAATACTGGCTTTTGTCCTTGGAAGATTTTCTGGCTGTATGAGTTGACCATAGTCTCAATAATTTCCCTGCAAACAAGATATTATATATCTGGATTCATGCAACAAGAACTATGCCAATTCAGGAAATATGGTTCATGTCCAACAGGAAACTTTCAGATCATATATCCATTAGCCCTTTTAAGAAATAATATCTAGCTCAGTGTTAGTTTTTCTCTTAATAGTGGATACCCAATGTAAATTTGGCTTTGAATTAACAGCAATAAAAATTCCCTATTTACAGTGTGAATAGACTTCCAAAAATATGGTTATAGCTGTAATGGTCTAACAGGCCAGTCGGCTGGCAAATAAACTCTATAAGGAATTTCTATTAGTGATTTAAAAGAAATTAATTTAACAAACAACTCATGTGTTCATAAATATTTAAGTTCTAATGGCCACTTGTAAAAGTTGTATAAAACATCTCAAAGTTTAGGAAAGAGTTGTATATAAAATGATTAGTCTATAAGTCATCCAGATTACAGTCGACATATTTCACTTTATTTCCATTTTTTTCTTCTCAAAACATTTTTAATGGATTAAGTAATTATTACCTTGGATAAATCTCAATAATCTAGGTACTTCTGGGCATGTATTCATGAAACCATTCTCATGCTCAAGCATGGATTCTGTGCTCAAGCCACTTTTCTTGTAACCCACCTAAATCGTGTCAACCATCAAAAAGTCAAATTCAAATATTGAAAACAGTATTCGGCTTTTAATTTCTTCAATTTTTGTCCAAAACTTTAACAAAATAAGACTTTTAAAATAATTTATAACTGTAACAAGAAATGAGACTTGAGCATGAGAATGGTTTCATGAATACGGGCCAAGGTGATATTTGTACCTGGACCTTTGTATCCTACCTGTTGACCCTGCGTGGACACTTGTCAGGGGTGATAGAGATGTCGTAGTGGTGAATGAAGCCCTTTGGGATGCGGACCTGGAAGTGATTAGCTTTGAGCAGGATGGGTTTGCCGTCTGTGCCATGGTTAGGTCGCGCGGGACAGACAAAGTCAGCGAGACGTGGGAGCGGTGGTGTCCCGTCGGGTGGTGTCCCAGTTACTGGTGGAACTAGAGGGACAACTGGATCTGTTGAGATTAAGTTAACAATAATGTTACCATTGCTATCTGTCATTTAAAGTCGTTGGTGGATTGTCGAGAGGAAACAGCGATGCAACAGGATATATGCGACATTAAGGTAAAGATTACCATCAAGTTTAAAAACAATTCTGTAATTACTTATAAAATAATGATACAGATAAATAAATCATGTGATGCATGTTACAGAACTTTATTCATTTGACAAGGGCAGTATTTCTATAATTTGTCTGACTTAAATGGTACAAATCTCATTCATGATCTTATTGTGCATTTATCAGTAATGAGAAGTTATGGAAATTGACCACTTTAACCTAGACCTTTGACCTTGTCCATGCATCAAAGTGAAATTGCACAACTAGGATTCAAGGGGAACCAGTGTGATAGAGATCTGTCAAGCACTTTATGACAAATAATTTAGAATTTTTGGATTTGAAATCCAAGATGGGCATGTTGGGTGCCTTCAGCATTGTGTTTTAGTTAGATAGCACTATAAAGTTGGCATCAGATCCACGCTATCACAAGGAGGCAAGCACACCAACATACCCTGTCTCTTGCACTTCACACATGGATGCACCTCCTTAAATGATCTTAGCTATTAATAGGATGCTATTTTTTTTTAAACCAAACCAAGATGGCCATTTGGTGGTCTAATTGTTCTTTGTATGCACAAACAAAAGGGATGTGGCACAACAATTGCAAGAACCCAAGGAGGTCCAATGTACAAAATTTGAAAATGAAATATCCAGTGCTTATTTGGAAATTGCTATAACAAGAAATTTGTTTACAGATGGATTAAAGGTGAATTCAAAATCCCACACCCATTGATAATGGGCTTAAAAATGTGTTTTAGGAAAGCATGATATTAAACACGAGACATCAAGTGGAATACACCATAATGTTATTTCAGTATAATGAATTTATACATTTAGTGTTAAGTTAAATTACATAATGATTATTAGTCTACTTCTAACATCAGTTTCTATTGTACATTTCTTAAAATGGCAGATTATAATAAATATAAATGTGTTTTTGGTTATTCAATTTGCTACAAATTTGAAAATGTCTAAATTTTTCAAATCAGTTAATTTATCACTGGATAATATTTTCAGAGACCAGGTATTATTTATATGTATATAGATGTACTACCTTTTTGTCCAAACACCAAAGAATATTTCAAAAATCTGTTTGATTCAGATATATAAAACTAGAAAATATCTAAGACATGAATGACCATGTGAAATTACTTTCAGTGTTTGAAGTTTGACAGGACGGGATGGGACAGATATGGGCAACACTATATGCTCCTAATTTTTATGTCGGAGGTATAATAAAGAGCTATTAAAGAATCCTTTGTTTTATTCAAATTTTTACATCATCAAATTAAAATTGCAGAGACCTATCTTCAATGTCAAAATATCCAATAAAGCAAAATGTCTTATTCAACATTGATTACTAACTGTCCCCAAATCCTGCCTCTGGCTGCAATGGCTGGAGCGGAGTGTAGGGTGGAAACATTGGAGTCTGACCTGTCAAGGAGAAAGAAACTATGTAAAGAGAAGGCATAATATATTCTACAAATATCAGACCCTTCGGATGTAATATCCTGTTAGCTTTGTACAGTGTTCAGTATTTTACATCAGCAGACTTCCACATAATGATTTGAAACTTATGTTTATTAAAGGGAAGTACAGTAGCATGCATGCATACAACATCGACTACACATTTGTATTCCTATTAAACAATATTGTACATGTATCAATTTGTATAACCTTTATATTATATTGCACACAATATAATTTGCATATATTGTACATGTGATTCATTGCACTCAGTATCTATTTGAAGTGTTGCACATAGTTTTATATTCTGAGTTAAGGTTGTAAACACATTTTGCTAACTTTCTCTTTTTTGAAGGGAAACTGTTGATTTTGACCCAGAAATGGAACATTTTCAGCCAATAAATTAGCTATTATATTCCCATATTAAATCATTTCAAATGACAGAACAACCCAAAAGATACACACATTTCTGTATGTAATTAATTTTGAGCTAGCAAAATATCCCTGATCGAAATTTTTAAAGGTTGGCTTGAGCATGTATCGGGATAATTCTTAATTTTTGCACACTGTTTAAAGCTAGTCGTCAAACAATTTTGTAGATACACTATCCTTTTAGAAGTTTACGACAGTAGTCTCTCTGTAAACAAAATTTGAAAAAGGCAGAGTTGCAAATTATCCTTCATGTCTCAAGAAATGATCAAAGGGCCATAACTCACTATGACCCAATTCCAGTGTGCTACACGTACACACGCGTGCACCATGCCATCATGAGAGGTACTTGCACGCAAAATTTAGTGATTGTAGGCGACAGAGCATATTAAGTGGGTATGCCCCAGACAAAGTGATGCAAATGAGCCAAAGTGCAAACTTAAATGTCCTCTCCAGCATTACCAGTGGCAAACTAAATATTGATATTACACATGAGTACTGCTTAAGATGCGCTGTCTACCTTTATTATACAAATATTAAACTAGTTATTCACTGATCGTATAACTTAAAGACAGTTTATGTAAACTTCACTACCCATACATTTAATGTACCAGACCTGATATGGATTGAATGTAGTAACACACTTAATACACACATAATCAAACAACAAACAATTGATGAATTGATTTTGCAATTCAATACGGCTATTAATAGGTGAACATTTTAAATGATGTTTAACTAACAAAACTTTGAGAGAGTATAGGAATGATAAACTCGAATGTTGATGAACCCTTGCACTACAAAGCATCACATTTTAGGTACTTTCAAATTCATCTAAGAATTTGGGCGTGTTCAATGTGAATGCAGGGGGTGATAGGGTCCATTACAGATGTTCATGCATGCAGTGTACAAAACAGAAAAGCTGCGAGACAACAGTAATAAGCGTGAAACTGGCAACCAAAGGTTAGTGTACAAAAGCAGAACTACCACAGAAGTCGAAGCTTGCTCTTCTTGTCTGTCAGTTTTGGACTGAAGAACAAGCCTCAGCCTAAATACAGAGGTTGAGTTAAATATCGTTTATATCATATATTAAGAAAAGTTTGAAGGTAGTGAATTAAGGAATTCAACTTTAAACAAAATAAATGATATTAATGTTTTTAGTCTGGAGTCGCAGCAAGAGCAAGAATTCTTCTTTAAAGTCAAAGCATACAAACTTGTGAAAGTTCCACAAGACGTATAACAATATTAACAAACAACTACACTAACAATCTAGCACTGTTTATGAACTTCATCTTACAGTGCAAACTTTAATAATAGCACAGCTATGAGAAATTCATCAAGTTTTTGTGATTACATGACACCACAGGTAAATATTGATAAGAATGAGCGTACCAGTGTAATGTATATTGATTTATTTTTTTAGATTCTTGGTATTTTTCATGCAATTAGCAGAGAAATGTTAGGTATTACAAAATCCTTGCATTTTCCATGTTTCAAATCAGCAGTGTTTAATTACTTATAATGCAAATTAAGAGATTATTGTCAACATTATTGATATGCTTTAACTACCAGTACCAGATGGAAGGTATGTGTTTGAACAAAGAACATAAATCTCATGAAGTTTGAAAGGCAGACTCAATCTCAATCTCAAATCCTCAATCTTTGTGAGAGAAAAAAAAATCTTTACGGTAGAGTGCATTGCAAGAAGACTTATTTCCTTTACAAATGAAATCTATTTTTTTTTTATAATCTACATTACCTGGGTATCTTAAAAGTTTTTCTATCTTTCGAATAAGTGTCTCTTTGATCTTGAAATGTTGTGATTTCTGATTGCTTTTACTTAATGCTATCTTATCAGATAGTTAACAATACCAGTGCTTGCTTTACATCTCCTTCAATTGTGCTTATCTACAGAGTTACCTCCCTTGATATGTGTGTAAGCCTGCAGCCTAGCAATCTTGGGAATAAAACATATAAGAGGTGAGGACTCTGTAAACAAAGTACGGCTCAAGTAAAACAGTACTCACCATCTAACACTACAACAGTAAACAAGACAGGGCTCACATACACCAAATGTATAAAAAAGAGGTTCTGGCTTATAAGTCAAAATACACAAAAGTCAGACGGTCTAATGTTACTACACCCAGCATCTTAGATGTGCCTAGAATGGTTACTTCAAAACAACACAAACATTTAAAGATATTTTCATGATCATACTGCATTTCTTTTGTCTAAAAAAAATCAAATCAAGAAAATAATCATCTGTTAAAATTTTATAAAAAAAATATATAATAATAATTGATAATACAACATTAAGGAGTAGGATCACAAAAGATATCTTCAGGAGGATAAACACTCACTTTTGCCGTTATACACTACAAAAGTCAGAGGAATCACCAGTACTTTAATATGGTTATTTCTATTTATGCAATCACAAATTTTCTAAAGATTTAATAAAAATTAGTCAAATATTTCACACAATAAACATGAACAAGTATTATGCATGTTGCTAAATTCACCAATCTATCATTTTTTTATTTTTTAAATGATAAGCAGATCAAGAGCAACATTAACATTAACATGTAATGATAATATATACACTTCCATCCAAACATTGCAACTCATTTTGTCTCCTTCTCCTGGTATCCTTAATCATCTGCTATCATTCATACAAAACTTTTACTTCACTTAATTTCACAATGATTTAACATTTCTAAAAACTAAGAAACTCTGAAAAGCCCTGTACAGTCTCTATATAGGTAAGTGGATGCAGAGATGATAGACACTTTCAAAACCAGCTAGCAGCCCCCGGTACACATTTCACCACCTACTTGCAACGTTAACCACAGACCCTTCTCTTTTTTCACTATGTCATTATTCAACCTCTCACTGTTTGAAAACTGTGTATATTACCTACTATTTCCTTTGAGAATCAACGTTTATGATGTAATTTGACCAAAACCACCATACAATTACCAATGCTTACAGACAATTCTATAACTACCTTCTAAACTTCTGGGAGTGGGTACGTTGCTGTTTCAGAATAATTGGTCTGCCAATTTATGACAAACGTGTTTTACTTCTGCATTTCATATTCAATCCCAAGGATTTTATCAAAGCTACATTTATGTTAGAGGAAACCACCAGTGGTATTTTAATTTTCAATAATTTTATCACCCTGTTTAATCTTTAGTAAAAATATGATGGTTTTTATCTGATAGAATACATGTTAATATTGCTTCATAACATAATCATGGCATGATTGATCATTTTATTGATATGTTTGGATAGAAGAGTATATAGAATATAGATTTCAATAAATTGAATAAGAATTGAACTACAAATACTTGCAATATGTGAAATATAAGGGTTTAACAATTTTACAGATTTAGTAGTGAATAGTGTTATAAGAAGACAGGTGTTGAAGCACTCTCTAGATGTATTGGACAACTATTAATTAATTGATTATAGATTTTTTTGATTTTCATTTCTGCAGACAATAGACCTTCTGGGCTATATTATGCAATATTATAACTACAGAAGGCTTTTGAGCATAGCTATTTTCTTTCTATCAAGTTACATCCTAAAAACTAAAATATACACTATCAGTTGTGCATAACTGATAAGGATATATCAATTATTACTCTAATTTGAACAATGGTTTTTGGTTGGGTCATCTAATAATAAGGAATGAACATCTGAAAAATCATCAATATTAAATATTCTTTAATTCATGGTGCATATAAGCCAAGTGGCATAGGACTAGTAGTTAGCGCCTGTTAAACAGCTCCTGTGAATTCCTCAAAACTGAATTAATTAATGTATATGCTAATTGTACTAATTGTATATCTATGTACTGTAAAGCACTTGAGAGTGGCTTGTTAGCTCTAGATTGGGCGTTATATCAAAAGTTGTATATTATCATTATTAATATTGTTTAGCATTTGATGATTAAAATTAGCCTTAAGCATACCTCCCCGCCTCCCATCCCTTTTGGGGGGATTTGGAACAACCATTAATATACCAGAAGATGTTTATTTGAAATTTTAAAAGCTTGGTTCCTCTAACAACTTCTTTGATGCCACAAATCCCGAACCAGTCAAATCAATAAGTTCAACATGTTCCAGCGGTGTAATTGAAATTCACAGAACACCATCTGGATACTATCTGAAACTAAATCTAGAGTAAAATTCAACAAGCCACTTAGGTATGAATTATGTACAAATCACCAATTCCACAGCCAGCTACCTAGCGTCCTTCTCCACCAAAATGTGCTTCAAATCCACAAAAACCTAAGCATGGTATTGCAACAGCACTATTACATTCCATCAAGAAAACTTTACCTCCCTAACAATTTAAACTCGGCAATGAAATAGGATAACAGCCATAGGCTATATATAATATGAAGAAACGAGAATTCCGGAACGCAACTTCTCCAATCCTAAAAAGAAATGTCACGACACAATTTTCATCTAGCTCACCAATATACAGCTACCAAGCAGACAGGATGGAAACTCACATACAGAGGAACCAAGCATATAGCTATAATTAACTTCTGTCGGAAGCCTGATTGCTATAATTTTTTAACGTAAAGCTTATTATAGTCGAATGATACTAGTTTTAGTCTGTACTGGTGACAGCCTACCTACTAGGCCCTAGTATGATAGTATGACCCCTAACAATAAAATATATATGATAAATAGTTTTGATATATATATATATTTACATAATTTCATTTATTCATACTTGCACTTATCACAAACCTAAAAACTTTTGTTTATGTTACTAGTTTTACTGTTTAATGTTTTGGGTTTATATCGGTATCTAAACTGACTGAAAGAATTAATGCTTTTAGTTTCTTAGAAGAGAATGTATTGACTATTTATATCTCACAGAATGACATTATTGTTTGATAATTTTAAATAATTCATTCATTTACATTGTCTGCATCGGAAAAATCACTGATAAAAGATATTTAATTAAAACAAAACTAGCGGACTGTTCACCAATTTTAACCTCATCCAGAGAGTGCATACGTCACAAATGGTCATGAAAACTGCACGAAGAATGGTACATACCATTTGAACTCAACTGTTGATTCATGATTCTCGTTATACCTTCAATGAAACAAGAAAATATCTTTGAAGTGTTTTGCTATGTATATGTTCTAACATTGAGTTTCTGCAAGATTCTCATCACCATCTGAAAATCAACAGTTATCTCCGTTCTTTGTTGGACAATCACAATTAACTCCCATCTATGTCTGTGGGTTCTGTCTACTTCGGTATTGGTAGCACCATTTACCTTCAAACAGCAAGAAAATCTATATTAGAAAACTCTTGCACATAACAAAGAAATAGATTATTTAAACTACTTAAAAACTCCCCTCTATCTCTTCCCTCAATGCAATTTAATGGATTTGCATGAATAAATATATTGACAGTGTACATACTACTGAGATAACTTGTAAGAATTTGAACTTACTAAAATTTATGGTATTCGGCAATTATCTAGTTTATAAATATTCAATATATGCATGTCTTAACTGTTTCTTATCCAATAAGAATTTCTGTCACAAAATTTATTTTGTTTAAAACGGTATCGCCTTACTGTGAAGTGAACGAAACACTTGTTACTCCAGATATTTTCTTGACTACCATAATTTCAAATTCTGCTATTATTAAATCAACAATCTGAAAGATGCAATCATTAATTTATATTAGGATAGGAAATATCTGCTAATGAATACACATCAAAAATATCTCTAATGAATATATACAAGGTGGTACTGTAGTGCCCATGGCCAATGAACCAGTACCTCTTTTTCCACAAAAGCAATATTAGTAGCTTTGTAGGAAGCAAATACATTCAAAAGCAAAACATAAAAATAGGCGACAAATTTGTTGGTTAAAGGAATGACTGCATGATGTACAAGCACTTTTATCTGAAACATCTTTTTTTTTATTTGAAGATATAAATGTGATAACAAATGTACAACATACATGTATGCAGGCTATATTGTATGTGTACCATCTATATATTTTTCTGAAAGAAATCAGACAGTATAAACCACATTGCTTTAAGGAAATATTTGACTATTCATATTCAGAAAGGTGTAATACATTACAATGTATATATCATCAGTGTAATTCACTGAATATCGGACCTTATTCATGGTCGATCAATAGTCAATTGACAAGACTTTAATAAATAAGTTCGAAATCATTACAGGTGTGCATTCCATAAACTTGAACTTGCTATAATTTGTTGAGTATCAAAGATGATACCATTCAGGTATTTCAGTGTTTTTTCTACTTAAATTTTACAACAACCTGTTTAATTCAATTGGAAAATATATATCTTTAGCTTTAATGAAATTCCTATTTTTTAGAAAAATAATTGAACTGGTTTTGTGGTGGGGAACAACCTGTGTTTGGCTGTAAAACCAGGCAAAAGCTGGCTGTAAACCCAGGCAAAAACAAATCATTGTATTTTTAACAAATTGATCATTCAATTACACGGAAATGGATAATGTACATGGTTACTGATAAATTTGTAGACCAAACATTTGTCTCTAAATTAAAATTGCACACCATACATTTTTATCTTATACATTGTGATAAATATTCAAAATCATATTTGATTTTATTAAGTTTATTTAGTTCCAGAGTGTGCCAAGAATATTTTATTAAACTGCTTCGGAATTTCAAGGAAACCAATGTGAATTTGACATGGAACAATTATCCTACATTCCTACAACCAATATATCGATAAATTGCTGTTCATCATTTGAAAGCATAACCCATGATTTTTGCAGAAATTTGTTTCAGACAAGTCCTGAACATTATTTTCAAAATGTTAGACTCATTTCTAATTTAGTAAGAGATGAACAAGGTTCATAAAAATGAAGGCAAGCTCACAGAAAAACAATATAAAGTCAGGTTCTGTCCAATCGACAGCTAAGGTACAAACCTCGACTTTGATTTTTAAAACAAGAGTTCCGCGAGATGGTACATGATACGCCCGTCAGATGTATTATGAGCAGTTTTGGCACAAAGGGCCATAAGTGCATAAATTTTGGAGAGATAAGCGTCAAATCTTAACAAGCTTGTCCGAGCTTTCATGGCAATAAACCTTCCTACAAAGTTTGAAATCAATCCATTCAAAATTACTCAAGTTATTGAGCGGAAACTGTTTCTGCAATTCTACAAAGGGCCATAACTCAGTAAATAACCGGCAAATACTTTTGGTTATTGCAAGCTTTCATAGAAATAAACCTGAAGTTATTAAGCAGAACCTGTTACGTCAATTCTTTATAGGGTCCCTTAATAACAGGCGGATAATGGTTATCGAACTTGTGCAAGCTTTCATAGAAATGAACCTTCCTATGAAGTTTGAAATGAATCCATTCAAATTACTGAAGCTATTGAGCGGAAACTGTTTTGACAATTCTAGAAAGGGCCATAACTGCATAAATAAGCGGCAAATAATTTTGGTTGTCGAACTTGTCTGAGCTTTAATGAAAATGAACCTTCCTATGAAGTTTGAAATTAATTCATTTAAAATTACTCCAGTTATTGAGCGTAAACTGTTTCTGCACTCCGTGGATAACAAGCAAATAATTTTGGTTATCCTAAGCTTTCATAGCAATGAACCTTCCTATTAAGTTTGAAATGAATCTGTCCAAAATTACTGAAGTTATTGAGCGGAAACTGTTTCTGCAATCCTACAAAGGGCCATAACTCTGTAAATAACTGGTAAATTATTTTGGTTACTGAACTTTCATAGCAATGAACCTTCCTATCAAGTTTGAAATGAATCTGTTCAAAATCACTGAAGTTATTGAGCGGAAGCTGTTTCTGCAATCCTACAAAGGGCCATAACTCTGGAAATAACTGGCAACTAATTTTAGTTATCGATCTTGTCCGAGCTTTCATGGTAATGAACCTTCCTATTAAGTTTGAAATGAATCCATTCAAAATTACTCAAGTTATTAAACAACAACTAATGTGTGCTCGTCCGCCCGTGTGAAAACATAATACGTACCGTCTATTGACGGGCGTATAAAAATGTAAAAATAAGTCAATGATCATTTTATAAATCTTTTCATAAAAAGGACATGATGCTAGAAAAAAGGGCGTAGGTTATATTGGAACCTTGCAAATCAGGGTCTGGAGCTTTCTTAAGTTTGTGTATTGTCCATCATCTTTGATTAAGAAGAAATGTGAGTGAAACCATAAGTAGGAAACTAGGAATAGAAGAAAAAATACTAGATTCCAGTGCAAACACATACCAGTAAACAGCGATACGTATACCTTCTACAACAACCTAACTGTCCTTAAAGTTAGAATTCATAATTAAGGGAGAAACCTGAAAAAAATGAACTTGTAGGGGAGTCTGTGAACCACAACACTTTCAGGAAGTCACCAGTTCTTTTGTAGTGTTTGAAATCAGAAGAAATGTTATGACTCATCACTGTTTCTAGTCAAATGAGTAACTGATAATTGTTATTGTTTTGAATAATTGTTTTTAATAACTGGTCCAAAAACTTTGTAATTCAATTTATATTTCATAACATCATTTTTGAAACAGCCTCTTCTTATATTAATGGGGAAAATATAACAATATTTGATTGAAATGGGCAGATTTGTCTATGTTTTCAATTTTTTAACCAATTTGATGTAAAAGGCCAACTAGATAAAATATGATTCATTTAATTTTCAACCAGTGACTTCAGTCTAATCAATTAATCAGTAAGTCACTAGGTACAGTTTTTGTTTGAACAAAAAATGTGCGTGAATCATGATTGTGGCTCTTGGGTCGACTCGGAAATGGGACGAATTGATCACAACAACGGTAACAAAATGAATATTCACCTATGTTTAACTTCATCATCGTGTATGTTAGTCTCTTCTTGAATAACACACATAATAAGGACCTGCCAAGTGCAATTTTAGTAGTCAGTCATGAAGTATGTGCGTTACAAACGTTAACTTCTCTCGTGCTGCTTACTGTACTGTTCATTACAAAACAAAATTGGTAACTTCGACTGAAACTATACGCTGAACACTATAGCAATTCATAGATAAAACACCGATAGGATTGTAGTGGATAAGTTTTGAAGAAATAATATTATTGTTATGAATTTGGATTTATTTGTCTACAACAAGCAAATTATGCAGTAGGCCGTTCAATGCAATATGGCGTTTGGCGTGTGTGAGTGATGTTTGCTGTAAAAGGAACATGAAAAATCCATTCAAAACATTGATAATTCAATAGAGTTTCACCCGTAAGTCATTGTACCTGGTGGAATGGGAAACATTTTGGCATCAAAAGACGCTAATTTCCAGGCAACCACGTGCCTTGAAATGCTTCAATTGGCCAATTTCTATCTATGATTCCCCAGTCAGTCTCCTTCGTACAAAATGGCTGCCAAGCGGTCAGCTGCACTACTATTAAACCCAACAACGCCAAACATGCGGTGTGATATTTTCCGGAATTACAACAGGTGCCCGTATGATGTCAGAAATCCGGATTTAATTATATTTTTTTGTTTCATTTTAAGATACGTTTTCCTGCCATTATAGTTATGCAATTTTACATGTACACTGCAGTAAGCTTGAATTTGTGAAAATTGATTAATAAATACTCAATAGATCAAAACAAGAGACATTTTAACGGATATAAAATAATATGTAGTATAAATAAGACCTATATTCTTTGACCCATACCTAAGACATATGGAAATATAATCATTCATTATTAATATATTAACATCAATTAAATTAAGCAGATCTGTCGCACTAAAATATATGTATGTTCAATCTGTTCTCAAATTGTTTTTATCATTCAGATGATTGTTTTTGAAATAAAAGCTTGACGAAGGAATGTATTTATTATATTAACAGAACTAAAAGTACGTTTGCTTTTTCTCCAGACCATATCTTCTATAATGTGGGAACCTGAAGATCTATATCTTCTAGATACACTAGTTCGAAAAGTGATTTGGATAGCCATGCATGTGTTTTATTGTCATTTCTTGCTCCATAAACATTGTTTTAATGATTTAAAGAAAAATAAGTTGACCATACATCACAGCAATGGGCGCGTCTAATTACCCAATACTACCCAATACCACCCAATACTACCCAATACCACCCAATACTACCCCATACGATCCAGTTATGAACCAAATACTTCTTTATTACTGTGAAATATCACCTTTGTAGACGTTATTTACTTCCATCTGCCATATTTTATCGGGAAATATGCGATTTGGTGCCGAAAACATCACCGAATTGCCGTGACTATGACCCAATACTACCC